GAGGCCGGGCGCGGTGGCTCAAGCCTGTAATCCCAGCACTTTGGGAGGCCGAGACGGGCGGATCACGAGGTCAGGAGATCAAGACCATCCTGGCTAACACGGTGAAACCCCGTCTCTACTAAAAAATACAAAAAACTAGCCGGGCGAAGTGGCAGGCGCCTGTAGTCCCAGCTACTCGGGAGGCTGAGCCAGGAGAATGGCTAAACCCGGGAGGCGGAGCTTGCAGTGAGCTGAGATCTGGCCACTGCACTCCAGCCTGGGTGACAGAGCGAGACTCCGTCTCAAAAAAAAAAAAAAAAAAAAAAGAAAGAAAGAAATTCATTGGGTGTATATGCAATTTTGTTTATACATTTTGTGTATCCATTTATCTGTCAGTAGCCATTAGATTGTGTATTAGTCTATTCTTATATTGCAATATAGAAATACCTGAGACTGAGTAATTTATAAAGAAAAGAGTTTTAATTGGCTCATAGTTCCACAGATTGTATGAGAAGCATGATACTGGCATCTGCTCAGCTTCTGGGGAGGCCCCCAGCAAACAGACAATTATGGCAGAAGGTAAAGAGGGAAGCCAGGCATGTTTTACATGGCAGAAGCAGGAGCAAGGGAGAGAGAGGGGAGGTGCCACACACTGGAACAGCACCAAGGGTATGGTGCTAAACCATTCATGAAGGATCCACCCTCATGATCCAATCACCTCCTACCAGGTCCCACCTCCAACAACTGGGGATTACAATTCTACATGAGATTTGGATGGGAACACAGCTTTCTTCTGAGCCCTCCATATTTTTCCAACCTCTGCCTGTTACCTAATTCCAAAGTTGCTGCCATATTTTCAGGTATCTTTATAGCAATGACCCACACCTGGGTACCAATTTTCTGTATTAGAAATACCTGAAGCTTGGTAATTTATAAGCAAAAGAGGTTTAATTGGCTTATGGTTCCAGGGTCTGTACAGGAAACATGATGCTGATTTCTTCCTGCCTTCTAGGGAGGCCTTGGGAAACTCAAAACCATGGAGGAAGGCAAAGGGGAAGAAAGGCATCCCATACGGTGGGAGCAGGAGGAAGAGAGAGAGGGGGCAGGTGCAACACACTTTTAAACTACTAGATTTGGTGAGAACTCACTCCCTATACAGTACCAAGCTAATTCATTCAAGAGAAATCCACCTTCATGATCCAGTCACCTCCCACTAGGCCCCTCTCCAACACTGGAGATTACAATTTGACATGATATTTGGTGCAGACACAGATCCAAACCATATCAGGTTGTTACCACCTCTTTGCTATTGTGAATAGTGCTTCCATGAGCATGGGTGTACAGATATCTTTTCAGACATTGCTTTCAATTCTTTTGGATCCATATCCAGAAGTAAGATGCTCTTCAGCATCTTTTATTCATGTACAGTCACCAGCACTTTCATTTCCCCATGTTGTCTGTTCACTCACCTCAAGCCATCTATTCTACATTCATTCTTTCTTCCTTCTATTAAGGGATGATGAAAATATCCGAGGGTAATTCTCTCAACTTCCTCTCCCTCCACCCTCCATCATATCTACGTCCACTCACCCTTACAATCATGTCTGTCTTACACTTTTCACAGCCTATATCTTTCTCTCCTCATCCCTTTCTGTCTTTTCCAGGACATTGTTCCTTTAGTTAGACCCTCTCTCATCACTGGCTCCTTCGTTCCACCTCCAAAACTCCTGAAGCCAAGACCTGCTGAGCTGCATGTGACAGAAATCCACCTCACACTGGCTTAAACCAAAAATGAATTTTACTAAATCACATGACAGAAAAGGCCAGGCGTGTAGTTGGCTCTTGTCAAAACAGGGATAGTCAAAGCATGCCTTCAGGAATATCTTCTCCTGCTGCTTTGCCTTGCTGGCTTCATTCTCTGGAAGAAACTCCCTAAAAACCAGCAAAATATTTGCTTACAATGTGAAGTGCACGTCTCATCAGCTTAGCTTTCCAGTACAAAGAGCTTCTCTTGTCCAATAAGTCTTTCAAAAGTCCCTTCAATAGCTCTCATTCTCCAAATAGGGTTACATGTCCCCAAAGGAAGCAATAACTAGGAGCAAGACAGTGAAATAAACACAGGGCAAGGCCTGAGTTGCCTGCCCAGCCTTGGAGATGGGGGTAGGGTTGGTCTACCTCATTGGTTCTCAGGTGGGATGATTTTGCCCTCCCAATGACATTTGGCAGTGTCTAGAGACATTTTTGGTTACTACAACTGGAGGAGAGAAGTGCTTCTGGCCTCTAGTGGGTAGAGGCCAGGGATACTGCTACACATTCTCTAAGGCACAAGACAGCCCTCCAGAACGAAGAATTATCTGGTCCATGATGTCAATAATATGGAGGTCGAGAAACCATAGTCTTCCAGAATCACACTGAACTATGGGAAAAAGGGGATTTCTCAATGGAAAAACCTAGGGGCAAATCCCAGAGGAAGGGACACATTTAGAGCAACAGATATCCACCTTCCCCTCCATCTGAAAACAAATCTTCCCCCAAACCATCTATGTTTCTCTTTTAAACTATCTGTCTACCACCAAATTTTCTGAAAGAGTGGTTGACCTTAGCTGTCTCAACCATTGTAGTCATTCATTCAAGAAATAATTGTAGAACTCCTTCTCTGTGCTAAGCATTATTTTAGGTCATGGGATTTGGCAGTGGTAAACTGACATGTTCTCATGCAGCTTTTATTCTAGTGGGAGAGACACACAATAAGCAGATTTTCAGATGGTAATAAAATGAAAAAATGGTAAGTATAATGTTTTAATCTATATAAAACAAGCAAAAAGGAAAGGAAGTTCTGAATTAATGTGCAATTTTAAATAGTGGCCAAGAAAGGCTCCATTAAGAAGGTCTCATTTGAGCCAAATAACTCACGGAGATGAGGCAGTAGCCATGCAGACAGATATCTGGGCAAAGATCGTTCTAAGCAAAAGGACTATTAAATGGGAGGGAAAAAACTGAAGAGAAAAACACACCTGCTGTACTTGGAGAAATAATTTGTTTGCATGCTGATGGTAAAAATCCAGCAGAAAGAGGGGTATGATAATGCTGGAGAAAGTGAGAATTGCTGGTTTCCTTGAGCGAGTGAGAGCAAACTGAATCTAAGGCACAAGTGGAGAGATCACCCTTAGACTTAGACTGTGGACAGTATAAATACACTAACAAGAGAGAAGGAAGTTACATGGGCCAAATACAAGAATTTTGGTGGAGCGATGGTAGAAAATTGTAGATCTATTTGATTGTTTCTATTTTCTCAATAAAGAAAGAAACAAAGCTATTCACAGAGATTAGGAATGTTGGAGAAGGTGTCAGAAATAAATGTCAAAAATATGAAATAGTCATTTAGGAGAATGGGAGAATAAATGGATTAGACAAAAAATAGTGGAAATGTCAGGCAGCAGTACAATGGTCCATTTGAAATTCTTTGTTACTAAAGTAAGGCTAGTCATTGTATCTCTGTGTCTTTTCCAGTCACATTCAGTTTCACAGGTATGGGAGCAAAATAATGGAGAATTGATTCTAACCAGGATTGTCGATTTGTCTAACGCCTATAATAAAGCAAGAGAAGGGTGAGGGAGCTAATGGTGGGTGCAAGATGATGATTATAATGACAGAGTATGGAATTTAACCTGGTAGTGATGAAAGTGAAGACACGAAGGAGGTGAGAGGCTGAGAGAGATAGCGGTAGGATCAATGGGTTGCAGGCACTGAGACAGACAAAGATTGCTGGATTCAGTTTAATGGTAAAAGAGAAGAGTAGGATTGGTGGTTAAAGAGTGGGATCACTGAAATCATTGAGGGTTGCAGTGACAGTGACAAGTTTCAGAGCATGCACATGAGCATTAGTGTCAGAGGAGAATAGAGGACAAGACCACAGGCAGAGAAGAGGTCAAGGCACTTTAAGGCCAGGGATTTGAAAATGCTATTGCTGTGAATATTGAAATAACCAGGGACTGTGGCAGAACTAATAGTGGAGAAGGTGGCCATGAGCCAGGAGCTAAAACCTTCAAGGAATGAGGGGAGAAAGTAGACACTAGGAGATGGATACCAGCAGAAGTGGTAAGGAGTGGCACCTTCTGATAGCATGTGATGGAAAACTGAGAAACTGAGCCTTCTCCTCTTCTCTTTTCCTAAGCCTACTACAATCTGACTGCTTCTCCCATTACTCTGTCGAGAATAACTTGAAATGATGATAGCAAATCCTTAAAAGAATGTCACTGGATGTATTAAAAAGTGTGATAAGTGATATGATCAAAGTAGACATTTCTTCCACTAGAATTTTGGGAGAAAGCCTAATGGAAACCAGTGCGCACAGAAAGACAAATCCTGTATGATACCAGTCATATGTGGACTCTAAAAAAGCTCATCTCATAGAAGTAGAGAGTAGAGTACTGGTTACCAGAGGCTGGGGAAGGGAGAGACAATGGGAGATAGAGACAGATTGGTTAAAGGGCACAGGATCACAGATAGATAGGAGGAATAAATTCATCCTTGAATACTTAACCGTCACCCTAAATCTGTCACTCCTACATCCATATTTCTTATTTCAATAAGTAGCACCACCATCCATTTCTAATCCTGGGGCTAACTCTTGATTGCTTTCTTCTCACCACCAACCTTAAGAAAGGAAGTAACCAATATCCAGTACACAAGCAACTGTTCATTTCATCTCCAAAATCTTTGTTAATTATCCACTTTATCCACCCAGTCAGGGCCGCCATCAAACCTCACTTGGATGTCAGCAAAAGCTCCCTGACTGGTCTCCCCTCTCCATTATTGCCCTATTCTAATCTACCTTCCATACTATACACACATTTACATTTTAAAAATGTATATCCGATCGTCCCTCCCTTTTTAAAAATCTTACGATGGCCTGACATCTCAATTCACGATAAGGAAATTGGTTCTTCACATTCTCTGTACACTGTACACATGGCCTGCAATTGCGCTTCAACACAGAAACCAGGCATTTCATTAGCTGACCTTCCCACACACATTCTTGCAAAGAGGAATAGTCAAGCAGGCTGTTTGGAGGCGAGCTGCCGTCATCCACCACCTGTGTCTGTAAGCGCAGAGCCTCGCACGCGGGATCCATCGGAAGCCCAAGCATTGTCAAGCTCTGCTGCTGCACCTGGGTCCGCAACGTGGGCTCTGCCAGAGAAACCCGTTAGAAACAATGCAAATGGGGAGTAAACATGGCCTCGCCCATGAAGAGGAAGCTGTGGTGAAAAGCATTTTGTCCCGGAACCCCGCAGCCCTCCCCATACCCTGGGCGCGGAGCACAAGGATTGGTCCCTCCTCTTTGTACTGCTCTTTTCCTCTTATTTCAGCTTTCTTCGAGAACAAATCTGGTTTGTAGATGTGCTTGGGGAGAATGGGGGCCTCTTCTCCAAGAAGCCCTGAGCCTGTTGGGCCGCCGGCGCCCCGTCTCCCCTTCTGCTGCGGAGGATCCCTGCTGGCGGTTGTGGTGCTGCTCGCGCTGCCGGTGGCCTGGGGTGAGACGCGGGCGGGCGTGGGGAGGCGCCTGGGCGGACGAGGCACCCGGGGCCCCGCAGGGAACTCGCGTGCCTCGCTGGGCTGCGCTCCTCTGGACGCCCGGGTCCGAAGGCAGTGCGATGGGTGGGCTGAGCGCGCAAACCGGCAGGGCGGCGGGTCTGGGATTCTTCTGCTCACTGGAGACCCTCGCTGCTTCTGGGTAAGCGTGGAGTCCCCATGTGCATGGGGCTTAAGTCGTGACCAGCGCAGAGGAAGGCGCAGATGCTGAGCGGGTGTCGCATGAAATTCCTTGCATTTGTGTATTCACAGTCTAGGCTGGCTATAGCGGAGCGTGGCGTTGATCCTAGCGAAAGGGGACTTGGGGATCCGACAAACCTGAGTTCTGGTCCTAGAAACTTAACTATGAGGCAGCTTAGCACACCTAAGTCTGTTTGCTCTTCTGTAAAATGGGGACATTGATATCTGTGCATTGTGGAGGTGCTGCCTCAGTGGCATAAAGCCTGTCGAGTGTCTAACACAGGGCCTGTCCCCGAGTCCATTTCTATCCCCTCAACCATTGCCTCTGCACTTTGCTCCCAATGGTGTTTAGACAAGCAGTCCTAGGGATGCAGGTATTACCTGACAACTGCCCCACATAGAACTGTCCTCGTTCCCCACCCCAAGCCACCACCGCTATCATCACCCTTGCACTTGATTGATAGCATATTTTAAGACAGATGCATGCCAGGCACTTGGGGATTAGAGGAGTAAGGGCAGCCCCAGAACATGCAGTGTAACCGCTGCAGGTAGAAGGAACAGTAGATATGTTTACAGTTCGCATTTTAGGGATGTGTTTAGTGCAAAATAAACCCTATTATTATAACTACTATGGAAATTTTGAGGCCACATCTCTTCCTTTTTCTTAACTTCACATAGGTAAACATCTTCAATTAGAACCCTTCTATTATTATTTTTGGGCTCCCCAGAAGTCTTCTTGTTTGCCTAGACTCACTGGCAACATCTCAATTGAAGTGACAGTCTTGGTTGTTCCTGTCCAGCCTCTTCTGACAACTCCAGGTTCGCCCTTCTCTGCTACTAGACATTTTGCATTCTTTATTTGAGTGTTCCTTCTTCTCTAAAAGAGTAAAAAATAAAATAAATTAAAACCAAGTTCCCGCAAGAGTTGTTATTACTATTTGATCTCCTTAGGCACCAGAAAGTAACCTGTCAGGTGAAGAGATATGATAAAACTTACAATTTTATTTTTAGGAGAGAAGCATGCCCAGTAAGTTAAGCAATCTGTTGTCAGTGCTTAAGAATTTGTGTCATCCTTGTGAGTACTGACCCTCTTCTTACTAGAATGTTGTTTTAGTTTGCCTATGTTGATTAAGTTACTGTTATAAACAATCCCAGACACTATTAATTGCAAAAATAAAAAAAATTACTGAGGTTATCACAATAACCTCCAAATGTGAAACAGCCTAAACTATACTACCTGGAAATTTTCTTGCTGACATACTTTAAATTTTAAAATGCTGATGGATGTTTCCAGTGTGCACGGTCCTTTAGAATTTTAAAGAAGTATAAGAGCTATGCACCCAAGGTATATGCATGTAGAAGTAGGTGGTGGAGTTTTATGAAATCTACTTATTAGGAAGCCAGTGTTCGGCTTTTTCCAGCTTCTGCTACTTACCAGCTGGGGTCTTGGACCCAGTAAGTTAAGTCACATCACTGAGTGTCCACATGTATAAAATGAGCATAACTGACATCCTGATCTCTGAAAGAGGTATTTTGAAAATCAGATGGTGTAATGCATGTGACAGTGTTTTGTAATCTGAAAACCCCCATGCATATCTGAAAAATCATGACTAAGAAGTCATGCAAGACTGCAGGATCACTGAAAAGGGAGAAGTCTTAGCTCCTACGATCAGGAAAGTGTGAGTGAAAGGTGTATGGATTTACTAGCACTTAAAGAGTGAATCCAGAAACAGTTTGCATAGGACAGTTTATGGGGATATTTATTTCTATACAAAACATAGCAGAGGAACTAGGATTGTTTTGTTATTATGATTAACTCACAGTACCCGTGAAGTGGTATAGGGCTATTTGAAAGAGGACTTAGATTAGCTGCAAATAGATATTGCAAATGTAGGACAACCACTGAAAAAAGTGAAAAAAAGAATGATAATTATATGTGAATAAGGAAGAGAAAATTGCATCATATAAAATGCTCAGTTAAAACAATAAAGAGGGCCGGGAACGGTGGTTCATGCCTGTAATCCCAGCACTTTGGGAGGTTGAGGTGGGTGGACCATCTGAGGTCAGGAGTTCGAGACCAGCCTGGCCAACATAGTGAAACCCTGTCTCTACAAAAATACAAAAATTACCGAGGCATGATGGCGGGTGCCTGTAGTCCCAGCTACTCGGGAGGCTGAGGCATGAGGCTTGAGAATCGCTTGAACCTGGGAGGCAGGGGTTGCAGTGAGCGGAGATCATGCCATTGCACTCCAGCCTGGGTGAGAGAGCGCAACTCCATATCAAAAGAGAAAGAACGGAGGAAGGAAGGAAGGAAGGAAGGAAGGAAGGAAGGAAGGAAGGAAGGAAGGAAGGAAGGAAGGAAGGAAGGAGAAAGAAAGGAGGGAGGGAGGGAAGGAGGAAGGAAGGAAACCAATAAAACAATAAAGGGCAGGAAAAGAATGGAAGACAAAAAGTAGAAACACAGAACAAGAGAACAAAGGCAACAAATAGAAACCAGTAACAAACACTAAACCAACCATATCAACAATAATTTTGAGTGCCAATGATCTAAATGCACCATTTGAAACAGAGATCATCAGAGTGGATCAAGAAACAAGACCCAACAATATATTGTGTACAACAAGACCATTTTAAATATAGACGACATATATTAAAAGTAAATGGATAAAGATATACCATGCTAATGCTAGTTATAGAAAGCAGGAGTAACTGTGTTAATTTCAAACACAGCAGACTTCTGACCAAGAAAAATTATTAGGGATAAAGAGGGGCATCATATAATGATAAAGGGGCCACTTATCCAAGAAGACATAATAATATCCCATATGTATGCACCTGACAGAGAGACAAAATATGTGAGGCAAAACCCATAGAACTGCAAGGAGAAATAGATGGATTTGCTATCATAGTTGGAGACTTCTATGATATCTTTCTGATATCAGAAAAGGTGCTGAAGTCTTCTTATCAGAAATGGGCAGATTCAGCAGGCAGAAAATCCATAAGGACATACTTGAACTCAACAGCACCATCAATCCACTTGGATATAATTGACATATATAGGTGACTTCATCCAACAGCAGCAGAACACATATTCTCCGGCTCACATTCATGGGGATAGACCACATTCTGAGCCATAAAGTAGTACGCAAATTAAGCTTTACCAGGCAGTGTTTAGCATAGGGTGAACTCTGGCGCCCTCATCTGGTCCTCATGTAGGATCTGGTTTGGTTATCCCTGCTAGGTAAAGGTGCAAGATAGAAGGGAAGTTCCAACTTGCTTTCTGTGCTCTGTGATGTATTTTGGTTTACATATGCTCAGATGAGTGGATGTATGATTTATATTATCTATTTTAATCTAAAATAACCTTCACATTTGGACAGGTAACATCAAAAGTGTCCTACACAGAAATACTGGGTGAAGATCCCTGTAATAAAACCAACTCCAGAAAACAGGAAAATGGCAGAGTTGACAATCCCTCTCACCCTCCCCGCAAAGACACATGTATACACATTTTTTGTCAGAGGCATTAAGAGGAAGAAATGCTGTCAGTCTAATCACAGCTGATCACAACTTGATGAAACCAAAAAATCTAGAAAGTATCATGAAGACAGTTGACATACAGCTTTACATTCACTACTGTGACCAGAGAAACTCACTGTGGCTGTTTTTTATCCCATTAGATGTCAACTAATGATTGTGTTAAGTCATAATGATTAACAAGGCATTTAAAATATTTATTTTATCTGTATTACATTTCAAAAAATTTATATTGAGACATAAAATTTATGTTTGAGTACATATATAATTTATAAATTTATATATTTTGAAAGTGCATGCTTTTTTTTTTTTAACTGAAAGAGGTGCCTAAGCAAAGCAAGTGCAAGTCTATTCCTTAAAGGGTAAGTGTGCAGAATGGAAAGCAGGAGTGTTCTTTGGGTTGACAGCTCATATTTCAACAGACATGAAAGTGATTATGTGTTAATTGTGTGTATAGCACAGAATAAATCAACTTGCTTTGAATGGAAGATCTGAATCAGGAGAATGTGAAAGTGGGCTGAGTCATATAAGACAAAACCGAAAAGGAGATAACAATATATACCCACTAGAATGGCTAACTTTAAAAAGATTGACTAAGCCAAGTGCTGGCAATAAGGTGGAGCAACTGGAATTATAATATACTGCTATTTGGCAGGTAAAATTATAACATTAACTTCAGAAAATAGTTCAACAGCTTCTTAAAACCTTAGACACACACCCTGTCATGTTACTCAGCATTTTACTCTTAGTTTTTTACCCAAGAGCAATGAAATCATATGTCCACACAAAGACTTGTATGTGAATTTTCATACCAGTTTTGTTTGTAATAACCAACAAGTGGAAACAATCCAAATGTCCCTGAACAAGTGAATGGATAAACTATATTAAGATATATTTATACAATGAATATCACTCAGCAATAAAAGGAAACAATTTTTATATGTGCAGCAATCTAGATGGATCTCTAATTATGTTGTGTAAAGGCTAAAACATTTAAAAAAAAACCGAGTGATTTCCCTTATACAATAGGATATGAACGAAGTGATTCAGGTTATATGAAATTTTAGAAAGTCAAATCAATCTGTAGTAAGAGAAAAGCACCTGAGTGATTTCCTTTATACGATAGGATATAAACGAGGTGATTTGGGTTATACGAAATTTTAGAAAGTCAAATCAATCTGTAGTAAGAGAAAACACGTTGGAGGTTGCCTAGGGAAGGAAGTGGATGTTTGGATGGATTACAGAAGGACATGAGGGAACTCTGTGGGGGTGGGGTGTATGATGGAAATGTTTATTGTCTTCATTTTGGTGATGGTTTCACAATGCATACATATAAGTAATCGAATTGTGTACTTTAAATACTAATCAATAATTGTATATAATATATCTTAATAAAGCTATAAAAACTTTTTAAAATTATGGTAGGTCTTCAGTTTATGGAGTTTATATTAATATATTTATCATAGGAACTAGCCGCAATTGACGGATTGGTAATAAAGGAGGGAAAGGAAATTATATCAAGCTTTCTTTGTTGAAGGCTCATATATTCCTTTTTTGAGCTATTATACAACTTTACTTTTTATAATTACCTACACTATTCATATACTACTATGCAGGTAAGAATATTATGTAAGTAAGGGGAAGGAACTTCTTTCCAAGAATGGTTCATTCAATTTGTTTTGTTACTTTAGGTCTTGTTCTATCCTTTTGTTGCAAGCTTTGCTGTGACATTTACCCTCTCTTAATACAGCTTTTGGCACTAGGCGCTTCACTTGGAATTTCTTCCTTTGTCCAGCATCAATGGATAAGACAAATATCGAAATTGTATTTCATCCCATGTATCAATTAGAGGAAAGGTGAATGCATAACACTGAAAATAACAGGAAGTGGTTTACTCAGTTTTTTTTGTTTTTTTGTTTTTGTTTTTTCATTTTCTTTTTACAGTGGTTCTCAAAGTGCTGTTATCTATCAAAATCAGCTGTGAAAATTTTTAAAAATGTAGACTCCTGGGCTCTAAACTAGACCAACTAAATCAGAGATTTGGGGGACATAGCTTGAATTCTTGACTTTTTTAAAGTTTTATAAGTAATTCTTCATTTGTTGTTCTTTGCAACAAATATGCATTGAGTGCTTATAATTAAGTGTTAAGCACCAGGACTAGGTATTAATTTAGAGGTACAAAAAACACATCATCTCTTGCCTTTAAATTATTCATGTCTAATATCTGTTGAGAGAAATAGATCCTTCTAAAAGCCCACAAAGATAAAAGGCACAAATTGTAATAACAAACAATGCCAAATCCCTAAGAGGGTCAGGAAAGGCTTCAGATGAGATTGGGTGTGTTCAGGGTGGTATGGACATAGACAGGCCAGGGAAGGCTTCGATAAGAAAGTACCATTTTAGCAGACGCCTGGAGGAAGAATCAAAGTCAGAGCAAAGATAAAAGTGCGTCACACAGAAGGAATGTCATAGACAGGGGGAAAATGTGTGTCTTCAGGAAACTGAAAAAGGGGAAAGGGCCACACCTTGGTGAGGGGACCAAGTGGCACGAGATGAAGCAGGAAACATAGACAAGGGCATCCTTGTTTAACAACTGCTGGCTTAATAAAGCAAATGTGTGATGATGGATACAGGCTGTCTGGGAAAAATAAGTGAGAAATATGAGCTTTCTTGGAGCATCATCCTTTGCTTCAGTAGAAAGCACAGAGTTAGGCTTCCAATTCCGACTAAAGCCGTTGTCAACAGGGAAAAGGCAACCTTAGCAATTCTCCTGTCTGTCCGGGATCCCGTGGGCACTATGATGGAGCTCATGAGATGCAGAAGAGAAGTCCCAGGCTGAATCGGGGGCACGTTCACTCAGGAGAGCTGAGGTCCCCAATCACTGAGGTCATCCAGTGCATTCCCAACAACATAGGCTCATTCTAAACTAGCTCTGCAAAGGAGCAGAAAATAAACTCTTGGAAGCAAAGCAAGCACTCCCACTTTAGCAGAATGATAAAATTTAACTCTTAGAAGTCCCCCGCCTTTTCTAAGGGTAATAATCATAAGTATAACTTATGAAGTGCTTCTGTGTATGTGAGAGCATATACTACTTTTGATTCTTCCTACAAACCTGGTAGGAAAATATTACTCCCTTTATGAAGATGAAACTGAGGCTCAGCAAGGTTAAGCAGTTTGCCTAAGACCTCATAGCCATTAAGTAGAAGACATTGGGTTCAAAGTTCAATCTATGAACCCAACATTTTTAACGCTATATACCATTCTCTTTTTGTATTAGTTTTCTATTGCTGCTGTAACAAATTTCCACAAACTTAGTGGCTTAAGACGACAGAAATGTATTCTCTTCCAGTTCTGGAGACTGACGTCTAAAATAGATCCATAGGGCTGTGTTCCTTGTGGAGGCTCCAGGGGAGAAGGGGTTTTCTTGCTCTTTCCAGTTTCCAGGGTCTGCTTCCATCCTTTGGCTCATGGCCTCCTTCTTCTACCTTCCAAATCAGCACCATAGTGTCTTTAAATATCTTTCTTCTGTCTCCTTTCACCCTCTTACCTCCCTTTTATGAGGACCCTTGTGATTACATTTAAGGCCCACCTAGATAACCCAGGATAATCTGTACATCTCAAGATTCTTAATCACATCTGCAAAGCCCTTTTACCATTACAGGTAACATTCACAGGCTTCAGGGATCAGAACATGGATGTCTTTGAGAGGTCCTTACTTAGCCTACCACATCTTTCCATATAGATTCTCAAAATTTTAGCTGAGCCTAATAGGGGAGTTCATTACCATTAGGGTCCAGTTTAGTAGCAAGTGCTTCCTTTAAGTGAAAAGGTGAAAGTTGTCCACTTAATAAGGAAAGAAAAACATTGTATGTTAAAGTTGCTAAGACCTAAGGTAAGAAGGAATCTTCTAACGATGAAATTGTGAAGAAGGAAAAATAAATCTGTGCTACTTTTGTGGTCACATTTCAAACTGCAAAAGTTACAACCACAGTGCATGCTAAGTGCTTAGTTAAGAGGGGAAAGGCATTAAATTTGTGGGTGGAAGATGTGAACAGAAATGTGTTCTAGTTGACAGCTATCAGGTTTGGTACTATCTGAGGTTTCAGGTATTGGCTAATGTCTTGGAACATGTCCCCCACAGATACATGGGTGACTACTCTATATTCAAAGTAAGCACTTATATATTGGGGAGTAGATCTCCCAACTCATTATTTATTTTTTATTTGTCCCACAAATAAAGTAAACAAAGTAGAATTTTAGGCAAGATTCATTTCTAGAGATAGAGATATTTTATTATAATAAAGAAGGTTGCTCTACCATAAAACATAGCAATTTAACTTTTTATAATCCTGATAACCTCAAAATATATAAAATAATAGATGGACAACATTATAAAAAGAAATAGACAAATGTACAATAAATAAAATATTTTAGTACAACTCGTTTAGTATCTAGTAAACCAAGTAGTCCCCCCAAAATCAGTAAGCATCTAGAAGATTTGAATAAATATTAACAGATTGGATTCACTGACTGATCTCATTACAAGAAAGAATTATGCATGATGATGGGAGAGATGAAGCCACAGCACAGGCACTTACTGATTAACTAAATTTTGAAGCTGTGAAATGCAGCTCCTCCTTTAGTGAGAGATGATATAAATAGCTTAGTTGCCTTCAAACTAGCAGAGACTTTTTGAATGGATGTATGTTGATTTTTTAAAAAGGAGCTTATTTCTGAGGCATCTTTTAAAGCAGGTTTCCTCAGCCCCTGGGCCATGAACCGGTACTGTCCGGTGGCCCGTTAGGAACTGGGCAGAACGGTAGGAGGTGAGCAGCCAAGTATTACTGCCTGAGCTTCACCTCCTGTCAGATCAGTGGCAGCATTAGATTCTCATAGGAGCAAAACCTCTATTGTGAACTGTGCGTACGAGGAATCTAGGTTGCATGCTCCCTATGAGAATCTAATGCCTGATGATGCAAGTGGAACCGTTTCATCTCAAAACCGTTCCCCTGCACCCTCCATTCCAGGAAAAATTGTCTTCCACAAAACCAGTCCCAGGTGCTAAAAAGGATGGGGACCACTGTTCTAAAGGAATCAGTCCTTTTGCTATTATTATTATTATTAAGATGGGATCTTGCTCTGTCACCCAGGCTGGAGTGCAGTGGCACAATCTTGGCTCACTGCAACCTCTACTCCTGGGTTCAAGCAATTCTCCTGCCTCAGCCTCCCGAGTAGCTGTGCACAGGCACGTGTACAGGCACACGCAATCATGCTCTGCTAACTTTTTGTATTTTGGGAGAGACAGGGTTTCACCATGTTGGCCAGCCAGGTCTCAAACTCCTGACCTCAAGTGATCCACCCACCTTAGCCTCTGAAAGTGCTAGAATTACAGGCATGAGCCACCACTCCTGCACCCCTTGGCTATTACTGAAGTGTTCTTTTTCTTTTTTGATCACATCTATGTAGTATATTGGAGAGAAAGAAAGTAGAATGGGAATTTCAACAGGGTCACGGTGGCTCATTCCTGTAATCCCAACACATTGGCAGGCTAAGGTAGGCAGATGACCTGAGGTCAGGAGTCGAGACCAGCCTGGCCAACATGGTAAAACCCCGTCTCTACTAAATATACGAAAATTAGCCAGGTGTGATGGTGGGCACCTGTAATCCCAGCTACTCAGGAAGCTGAGGTAGGGACAATTGCTTGAACCCACGAGGTGGAGGTTGTAGTGAGCCAAGATAGCGCCACTGCACTCCAGCCTGGGTGATGGAGCCAGTCTCTGTCTCAAAAAAGAAAAAAAAAAAAGTATGGTAATTTCTTCATTAACTTTGATGCTGCTATGGTCTTGATCTCCAGGTCAATGCAATGCCCCGGAACAGCTTCCATTTGCCAGGCCTACCGAACTAATTGATGAGTCTGAGTTTTCCATTGGGACACATCTGAAGTATGAATGTCGCCCTGGTTATTATGGAAGACCGTTTTCTATCATCTGCCTAAAAAACTCAGTCTGGACAAGTGCTGAGGACAAGTGCATACGTAAGTAACTCTGGAGTGGGAACCCCTCTGTCAGTCAAACATCTGTAAGATCTGATTCAATTTGTTCAAATTTTGTGACTGAGTTGCATATGACAATTAGTTTGCCAAGGTGCAAAATATGTAAGAGAATTATTCTTGTAGATCATACCTTGTTACTGCTTTGAGTTACTGGAGCCTTCATTACAAGTTTATTTCATGAGAAACAGCCATCACAGGACACGATTGAGGGGAAATCCCCATTCACTGGGGGTCTCCCATTTACATGACTAAAATTAAGTAATGAATGACTTGGGACAAGAAAGGGAAGTGGATTAAATAACTCAAAGATGTGATAATCTTGGGCTTTGAGATCTTTGGATTATACCAGTTGAATTGAATTACAGATAATAACAAAGTTTACATTTTTCTGGGAGGCATAATATGGGAATGAAACAGATCTGAAAGGGAAGTTTTTTATGAAAGGGAGCTGATCCCAAGGTAGTCTAGTGAGTTTCCTCAAGGTAAGAAAATCTATGGAAACATCAGAACTGCATGTGTTCAGTAAGCTACAGGCAGGTTGAGAACTTATGTACTAAAAAAATTTTGCAGTTTACTCTAGTTGGCTCCAAAATTCTGTTTCTTTCCTGTAGGTAAATCATGTCGTAATCCTAGAGATCCTGTGAATGGCATGGTGCATGTGATCAAAGACATCCAGTTCGGATCCCAAATTAATTATTCTTGTACTGAAGGGTGAGTTGGCAGCAACATCTCTTGGTTCAAGAGTTCTAGTACAGCCATACTACCTTCTAGTCACATCTCAGAAAGGACAACTAAGCTATTACCATCTGCTCTTTAAAGGCTTCAACACAGGTGTTTAGCTCCTGACTGAAATGAGCAAAGGTATGACAAGATCAGGGGAAAATCATCTGTATCCTTGCTGGAAACCAAGGCTGTGCAAATATGAAAAGTGTGACATTCATTGGGTGAGAAGGACGAAAATGGGGGAGAGTATAGTCAAAGCACACAAACAGCCTTAACCCAGAGTAGACATTGCTGGAAAAAAAGGAAGGCCATTGAGTAGCTGTGTGAGAGAAATCTTAATGCTCATAGCACAAGTAGTTTGCTAGGGCTGCTGTAACAGAGTACTCCAAAATGGGTGGCTTAATACCAATGAAGTTTTTGGAGTTCTGTTCTGGAGACTGAAAGTGCAAAATCAAAGTGTTGGCAGAGCCATGCTCCCTCTAAAACCTGTAAGGATGAATCCTTCTTTGCTTCTTCCAGCTTCTGGAGCCCCAGGCCTTCCTTGGCGTGTGGCAGCAGAACCCCAGTTTCTGTCTCTGTCTTCACATGGCTGTCTTCCCTCTGGATCTCTGTCCTCACATGCTGTTCTCCTGTCTGTGTATGTCTGTGTCCAAAGTTCTCTCTTTTAATAAGGACACCAGTCATATTGGATTAATGCCCACACTAACAACTTCATCTTAACTGGATTGCCTCTCCAAAGACCACATTTCCAAATAAGATCACATTAATAAGCACTGCGGATTAAGACATCAATATATTTTGGGGGTGAGGGGGATACAATTTTCATTCATTGCTGGTAGGAATGCAAAATGGTACCATGACTTGGAGAGAGAATTTGGCAGTTTTTTAAATAAAACTAAACATACTCTTACAATATTATCCAGCAGTTATCCTTTTTGGTATTTATCCAAAGGAATTGAAAACTCATGTTCACACCAAAAAAAAAAAAAAAATTCTGCACACAGATGTTTATAACAGCTTTATTCATAATTGCCAAAACTTGGAAGCAATCAAGATGTCATTTAGCAAGGGAATGGATAAACTGTGGTACATCCATACAATAGAATATTATTCAATACCAAAAAGTAAATGAGCTATCAAGCCATGGAAAGACACAGAGGAACCTTTTAGTGAATCTTTTTTCACTGCCACTAAGTGAAAGAAGCCAATCTGAAAAGGTTACATAACATATGATTCCAAGTATATGCCATTCTGGAAAAGGCAAAACTATGGAGATGGTGAAAAGATCAGTGGTTGTTAGGGGTTAGGGAAGAAGCAGGGATGAATAGGCAGAGCACAGAGGATTTTGAGGGTAGTGAAACTACTCTGTATGATGCCATAACAGTAGGCACATGTCATAATAAATTTATCCAAAGTCGTATAGTGTACAATACCAAGAGTGTACCCTAATATAAACTATGGACTTGGGGTGACCATGATGTGTCAGTGTAAGTTCATCAGTTGCAAAAAATATGTACCACCCTGGTGAAGGATGTTTATAATAGGCGAGGCTATCCATGTGTAGGGGCAGGGAGTACATAGGAAATCTCTGTATCTTCTGTTCATTATTGCTGTGAATCAAAAACTGTGCTAAAACACAAAGTCTATTTTTTAAAACGGCATAGACATAAATACACAGGCACATGTGCATAAACATACATGCACACCAATAAGTACAGGTAAAACAGGAAATTTGAACAAAATGTGTGGATTAGAACTATGTCAATATCTTAATGTTGATGTTGCACTATTGTTTTGCAAAATGTTATTATTAGGGGAAAATTGAGTAAAGTGTACCTCTCTGTACTATACCCTGCATGTGAATCTGATTATCTCAAAATAAAAAGTTTTTTTTAAGTTCCTACTATATTTCCAAGGGGATGGGCTTCCCCTCAGATCACTACCCCTTTTCCGGGAGCAATAAAGTAATCTTCCTTGGAACGTAGCAATCTGTAACAAATCAAAGTGCTATAACTACTCATGGTCCCATATGGAAAATATAATCCTGCTAAAATTTCTCTCTCTCTGCCTATATCAGTGATACTTTACATCCTCCACTTTGGAATGCTGACCCCATTCATTCGGAGTTGGAGTCTTCCATGTGGCTACCTTTAAGCTTTGTGCTCAAATAAACTCTATCCTTAAATATATTTTCTGGATCTCATTATTTAAGGTTGAAAATATGCTAACCGCTGGGTGCAGCAGCTCATGCCTGTAATCCCAGCACTTTAGGATGCCGAGGCGGGTGGATCACCTGAGGTCGGGAGTTCAAGACCAGCCTGACCAACATGGAGAAACCCCGTCTCTACTAAAAATACAAAATTAGCCAGACATGGTGGTGCATGCCTGTAATCCCAGCTACTCGGGAGGCTGAGGCAGGAGAATCACTTGAACCTGGGAGGTGGAGGTTGCAGTGAGCCGAGATCGTGCTATTGCACTCCAGCCTGGGCAAAAAGAGCGAAACTCCGTCTCAAAAAAAAAAAAAAAAAAGAAAAGAAAATGTGTTAACCTAAATAATTTGCGAAATTTGTTTTTTATTCTCATTTTTTCCTAACCCATCCACCTGGTTCAAGGCACATAGATTAAGAAGGAAAATGGAAATGGGACTAATATCCCAGGCTTCACTGTCCCTCTTTGGGCTCTGGGGAGGAGACTCCCAAAAGTCTAGACATGTTTGCCCACATGCTGTATGTGGTTTCTGGCAACGAAATGATCATGGCTTTTCCTGAACCATGGCTTAACTTTGTGAATCCACAACTCTCTCTTCCCTGGGAGATCCAAAAAGATAGGGTAGGATGTAAAGGCTTCAATCTGTTCAAATGGATATGAGAGCTTCCTTTACAATAAGTAGCATGGATTTCATCTCTCTGCTTTACTTCCTCATAAACATTCTGAATGAGAGGTGTTCAAACTATTATTTGTTCAGTCGCTTAATCTACTTTGAGGGACAAGTTTAATAAATTAAAATATTTTTCCATCTGTTCCCCTTGATCAGTGAACACAAAGTTATCTTTTGACTCATATTTAAAATGTTCAGTACTACAGCACTGAACAATAGTATGGAAGAAAAAAAATGCCAACTTAAATTTGAACTTGCTTCACCATTCCTATCCCAACCCCCATGATTAGAAAATCAAAAAGAACACTTTGAGAAATAACCTCAGTGAGGTCAAAAGCCAGAGGAGTCTCCAGGATCCCTTATTCCTAAGACAAATAGACAGAAGGAGGCGCACGTATAGGATTGCAGCCCTTCTTCACTTCATTTGTTCACATACTTCATACTTGTGTGTATGTCTGTTGGCAGTGCAATTGAAAATGATTTCATTTTTGGTGGTATACTAGAAAGCATTAAAAAACAAAATGAGGCCGGGTGTGGTGGCTGTAATCCCAGCACTTTGGGAGGCTAGGGTGGGTGGATTACTTGAAGTCAGGAATTCAAGACCAACCTGGTCAACATGGTGAAGCCCATCTCTACTAAAAATGCAAAAATCAGCCAAGTGTGGTGGCAGGCACCTGTAGTCCCAGCTGCTCAGGAGGCTGAGGCAGGAGAATCTCTTGAATCTGGGAGGTGGAGGTTGCAGTGAGCTGAGATCGCACCATTGCACTCCAGCCTTGGCGACAAGAGTGAAAATCTGTCTCAAAAAAATAACAACAACAACAACAACAACAAAATGATATTGAAGTCATTAATAAGTACATCATAAATCACTACTATAATGCAACGGTGCATCAAGTGTCTTCAGAAGCACCCACTGTTGTCTCACTATTTATTTGATCTCCATTTGGCACTGTTTTGTTGTTTGAATAAAGCTTTATGTTGCCAGGTTTTCTTACATGCTCATAAAGCAAAGTTCTCCGCTAAACCAATAACCATGACTGTTATTTGATATTGCTTCATTCCTTCATGTATAGTACTATCAAGTTTGACCCTACCCTCACTATGACTAGTTTCACCCAACCATCTATCACAACAGAGTCTAAGGTGACGTAAAATAAATGTCATAAATTATTCCACATTTATGGCACACTTTGAACAGTTTGAGATATACTAACTGAGAATTGCTGACTTTAATATTTTAAGTATAAAATGAGTGCTCAATTCTTTTTGGTCAGCCTGGATTTCCTTTGCTTCTAGTTATGAATCCCCTTCCTTCCTTCTTTCCTTCCTTCCTTCCTTCTTTCCTTCCTTCCTTCCTTCCTTTCTTTCTCTCTTTCTTTCTTTCTCTCTTTCCTTCTTTCTTTCTTTCCATCCATCTTTCTTTCTCTCCATCCATCTTTCTTTCTTTCTTTCTTTCTCTTTCCTTTTTTCTTTCTTTTTTCTTTTTTTTTTTTGGAAACAAGGTCTTGCTTTTTTGCCCAGACTGGAGTGCAGTGGCATGATCAGCACTCACTGCAGCCCCAACCTCCCCAGCTCAAGCAGTCTTCCTGCCTCAGCCTCCTGAGTAGCTAGGACTGCAGGAATGTGCCACCATGCCTGGATTTTTAATAAATTTTTTGTAGAGACAGTGCCTCACTGTGTTGCCCAGGCTGGTCTTGAACTCCTGAGCTCAAGCAATCCTCCTGCCTCAGCCTCCCAAAGTGCTGGAATTACAGGGGTGAGCCACTGTGAATGGCCTATTTTGGCCTTCTTTGATGAATCTTGTTGACAAAAGCCCATCCATGCATTCATACATTCACACTTTTAAGGCAAAGAAATACATGCAACACGACTATATACACACACATATACATGTATATATATGACAGCTTCCCTGCACTCAAGAAGTTTGTGTTATCTTTTAAAAAATGAAATTTGTAGGAAAAACTGTAATTCATCTTAGATTTGCATAAAAAACTGTCATAAGGTAATAAAGAAGAGAAAGCTCATCCAACTGAGAAGGTAAGAAAAAGAAAGTCCAAAAGTCCCAAGAAGAATGTGAAACTTGGGAAGGTGACAGATAATCCTTTGACAAGTGGAAAATGTCCCTCTGAATTCTGTAACAGTGTAATCTCTGGAAGTAGTAATTTAATTGGATAGTTGACCTGTGTCTTTGGAACCTAATATTCCTTATTTTTTGCCTCTAGATACCGACTCATTGGTTCCTCGTCCGCCACATGCATCATCTCAGACAATACTCTCATTTGGGATAATGAAACACCTATTTGTGAGAGTGAGTTGAAATATCCCTTCCTATTTCTTTTACTGATACATTCTAATTTTTCTCTGGAATAATAAAAATCTTAACCGAATTCCTTCTCTGCAATCTGTCCTTCACATGGCTGAAGACAGTGGTAATGTTCTCGAATATTCCTACAGGGTTCCTGGCAACCCTTTCCTTAAGTTCTTCCTTATCCTGGGATGTGTCTTTTCTAATTCTGGGGGCTTAAATACATAAAATCCTTCAAACTTGATTCTACTTCAATAAATTGGAAATTATGGTGGTTCTACCACCTCCAGTATAATAATCATCCTGCTTGGCGAATCAGTAAAGATTTTTAACATTTATGCTCTTCAAGATTAGTGAAGCTGCGAAAGAACCTGGACTCTCACGCACCACGAGGTCAACACATCCTCTCAAAAGGCACCATGCACTATTAACCTCAGAAGTGGGCATATATTTTAACCTACTTCTTAGAATTTATACTTACAAAATAATCACACACTTTTTAAAGCAGTTTGGTATAAACTTTTCATTGCAGCATCATTTATATTAGTTAAAATGTTAAAGCAACCTAAATATTTTAAACTATGATTTGGAAATAATCTACTAGGAGGAAAAAGATGTGTTCAAATGACCACTATAAAGAATTCCCGAAGAAACATAAAATAGCTACGCAGAATGGAAAAATGTATATCCATACACTGGCATGGTATTCAGCCATAAAAAATGATAACATAAAGAAGCACTTAATGACTAGAAAGAGATGTGTTTTATGTGGAAAAAGAATCAGATGAATGGCATATATGGCAAGATCTCATTTTATTAAAAAGTAATACACCTATGTAGTGGAGGGCCAGGCTGAGGCTCAGTGAAATATAGTGTATAACATCTTTGTCTTACTGTTCTCTTTAGATAGCTTGGGGACTTGTCTTCTTTTCTTCTTGGCATTTAAAAATGTTCCTTTTACTAGAAAGTTTATGAGCTTCAGAATCTAAATTTACAAATGACATTGGTCACACATTTATTGCTGTTTATCCACTTTAAGAAACAATTTTGTTATTTTGTAAAACAAATTGGGAAACCTTTCATCTTATTTGAAATCTATAATAAGATAACATGGAATTGGAATAGAAATTTTCTTGGAAATATGAAAAAATAGTAAAATAGAGAAAACAAAAATATAATAATACACCTATACCTATATCTATGTTTTTATCTCTGTTTCTAGTTCTGTAAACTCTCTATATCCAAATCCTGGTAAATGACTTCAAGTCTTCTTGGAGAAGGCTAGGGGAAGGTACCAGGTGCTTCCTCAAAAGGATCCAGTCTCCCATCTGTTTGTGCTTCTCTGGGTCTATAAACTGTTCAAGTCTAGGAATTGTTGATGAACAATGAACTTCTTTTGCAGTAATTCAAGTCAGACTCTTATTCACTTGACCTAAATCTCTTCCGCTTATACACATCAAGAAACACTTTAGTCAGCTATCCATCTATTTCAGTTTCAGAGACTCTATGATCAATTAGCCCTGTAACAATATTCTCTTCAGTCAAATCATTCTGATTGCTGTTTCAGCTCTAATATCCATTACAAGAACCCCCATTGTCTCTGGCAATTAAGTGCTGCCACTTGGACTCTGCCACCCTGAGGTCCTTTGGTCCCCAAGTGAATTCAGAGAACCCAGTTCAATGGCAACAGTTCCCATTGTCGTTCCTGCCCCACAGAGAATGAGCCATGGCAGAGGATGCTGAAACTCCCCATGTGAATGTATTCCTCAAGCCTCTGGTAAAAGGTCTATCTTCCAAACCCTCCACTCCTGCACTGTGCCTCACCAGCTTTATCCAAAGATGATCTTCAGAGTGGAATGGCTGTTGCTTAACTTCTGCCTCTCAAATATCGGCTAATTTCTCATGCTGTAACCCTAGTCCAGAACCATACAGAGAAACTAAGTCTGGAAAACTTAATTCCGAATTGGCCTGGTTGACACTGTACAAAACCCCCAGATAATTATTATTTTATTTAACTCTTTGTCTTCTTTTTTTCCTTTCCCTCCCTCCCTCCCTCCCTGCCTCCCTCCCTCCCTCCCTTCCTTTCTTTCTTTCTTCCTTCCTTCCTTCCCTCCTTCCTTATTTCCTTATTTTCTTTCTTTTTTATCACACTGGCTAGGACCACCAGTATAACATTGAACATTGGTACCAATAGATGCCATCCTTGTCTTGTTCCACATCTCAAAGTTAAAGTTTAAAACATTTCACCATTAAGCTGGTGTCTACTGTAGGCTTTTTGCAGATAACCATTTTTGAAATAAGGAAATTCTCTTATATTCTTCATTGTTAAAAAAATTTTTGGTATTTGAATCATGTTGAAGTTTATCAAACACTTTAGTTACATATATTGATGTAACCATATGTTTCTCTTTTTCTGTTAATGTAACAAATTGTTTTGAGTACATTTTTCAAAGGCAAATGATTTTGAATTTCAATTTTACATTCTTAAAATAAATCATCTTGGTCATAATATTTAATCATTTTATATATGGCAAATATGCTTTCATGATACATTTTAGATGTTTCTATTAAAATATAATTCACGTATCATAAAAGTTACCTTTTTAAATTATACCACTTAGTGGTATTTAGTACATTCACAAAGTTGTGTGTTACGGTCTGAACGTTTGAGTCCACCCCAAATCCATATGTTGAAATCCTTACCCCTAAGGTGATGACATTAGGAAGTGAGGCCTTTCAAAGATGATTAGGTCGTGAGAGCAGAGCCGTCACAAATGGGATTAGCATCCTAATAAAAGAGGCCCAGAAGAACTCCTTTTGCCCTCCCGCCATGGGAGGAGATGCTAAATCTGCCAGTGTTGGTCTTGAACTCCCCAGCCTCCAAAACTACGTGAAATAAATTTCTACGGTGTACAAGCTAACCAGTTTATAGTGTTTTGTTATAGCAGCCCAAATAGACTAAGACATTGGGCAACCAACACTGCTAATTAATTCCAGAACACTTTCATCATCCCATTCCTAACATATTTGAGAGATTAGACTATAATTTTCTTTCTTGTAATGTCCTTAATAAGATTTTGATATCAAACTTATGACAGTCTTATAAAGTCAGCTGGTAGTGTTTCATATATTTGTTTCCTAGTAAGGGTTTATATAAGATTGGTATTATTTCTTCTTTAAAAATAATTCACCAGAAAAGCCATATGGCCTGGAGTTTACTTTGTTGGGAGGTCTTTTTTTTTCCCCCAATAATTTTCCTGTACCATGTAGACTTTTCGCTGAAGTATAACATATATATATAGTAAAGTGCACACATCTTAATTATGCAGTTCAATGGATTTTTACAAAGTAAACGCATCCATGTAAAAGGCACTCAGATTAAGATATAGAACACTATCGGCACCCCAGAAGCCTTCCCGATGGCCTTTCCCAGTTATCTTCCCAAAATAACCAGTATTCTGATTTATAACACTAATAGTTTTGCCGCTTCCTAAATTTTATATTAAAGGAATCGAAAAATAGGTACTCTTTTGTGTCTAGCTTCATCTCAATGTTATATTTGGAAGAGTCATTTTTGTTTTTGCATGAAGGATTGTTGGGTCTTCTTTATTATTATGTTGTATGTCATTGATGATCCTGAGTACCTTTTCATATGTTTGTGAAGTGCCTATTCCAAACTTTTGCCTATTATTTACTAGTTTGTCTACTGTTTTGTTGTTTTGTAGAAGTTCTTAAATATTCTCATGTTTTCTAATAAATGTAACACAAATATTGTCTTTCAGGCTATGGCTTTTCTTTTTTCCTTCTTAATGTCTTTTGGTTATGAAAGTTCTACATTTTAATAATATTCAATTTATGAGTCTTTTTTTTTTTTCCAGTTACTGCTTTTTCTATTCTACTTGAGCAGTTGGGCCAAGTGAGGTGGCTCATGTCTATAATTACAGCATTTTGGGAGGCCAAGGCAGGAGGATTGCATGAAGCCAGGAGTTCAAGACCAGCCTGGGCAGCAAATTGAGACCCTGTCTCTACAAAAATAAATAAATAAATAAAATTAGCTAGACTCAGTGGCACATGCCTATAGCCCCGGCTACTTGGGAGGCTGAGGTGGGAGGACCCCTTGAGCACAGGAGTTCAAGGCTTCAGTGAGTTATGGTGGTGCCACTGCACTGCAGCCCAGGTGACAAAGCCCTGTTTCTTATGGATAGGCAATTGATCTAATATCATTTATTAAAAAGACTATTCCTTGCATACTACAATGCGATACCACCATGGCCATAAGTCAGGTGACCTTATATGTGGCTCTCATTCCAGAGAGGTTCTGTTTCATTGGTTTATTTGCCATACATTAGTTTATCTGCCATACTATAATGGCAAATAAACTATAGTCCTGCATTAAAATTTTAATTACTATCACATTACATTAAGATTTGATATCTGGTGGCATATATCTTCTAACTATGTTCATCTTCGAGATTTACTTGGTGATTCTTGGCCTTTTGCATTACCATATAAAATTTAGAATCAACTTGTCAATTTCCACATAAAGAATCCTACTTGAATTTGTATTAAGTTTCTGTTGACTCAGTAAATCAATTTGTGGACAAGTAACAAATTTACAGTTTTGAAGTTCAAATTTATGAATATGATATATCCTCCCATTTTGAAGTCTTCTTTAATTTCTTTTAATAATACTTGTTAATTTATATTATAGAAGTCATGTACATATTTCATTATCTTTATTTTTACATCTTATTTTTAAAATTTCATTCTCTAATTATTTACTTCTTAGACACGCACCTGTTTCATCTCAGCTCCAGCAATTTTGTTAAATTTACTTATAAATTGAATAGTTTACCTGTAGATTCTTTTGAATTTGCTGTGTAATTATGTCATCTATGAATCTGACAAAGTTTTTACATTTTTTCCTTTCTTATGTCTTTTGTTTATTTCTCTTGCTTTATTGCATTTGCTAGAACCTCCAGTACAATACTGAATAGAAGAGATGATGCAAGGCTACAAGGCTTTTAATAGTCATCATAAATCATGATGTATGCTGTAGTTTTTGCATGATATCCTTTATTAGATTAAGGAAACTCCCCTTTACTTCTAATTACTAAAAGATTTATAAATGTTAGTTCTAATTGATCACTATGCATGTATTGAGATTATCATGTTTCTTTTTCACTCTGTTAATGTAACATATTACACTGATTGATGTTTAAAAGACAAACACTGAATTCCTAGAATAAACCTATGTTGTTTGTGATGTGTTATAAATGATTACCCTATGTATGGGGAGTATGCGTGTGTGTGTGCAGGATTGCTCATATTTTTATTGTAATATTGTAACATTGATTTAATATTTAAAATCAGTCAAGGTAAACCTCACTTTGATCATTGTATCATCCTTTGGAAATATTACTGGATTCAGTTTCATAATATTTTGTTTAGAATATTTGCATTTATGTTCTCAAGAGATCTTGGATTATAATTTGCTTTTATTTTAATATCCTTATCAGGTTTGGGCATCAAGATTATGTTGGCCTCACAAAATGTGTTAAAAATTATTTATTTTTTCTAGTCTCTGGAATAATTTGTGTAACATTAACATTATTTTTCCTTATATGTTTGGAAGAATTCAGCAGCGAAACAATCTGGACCTGAGGGTTTGTTGTTGCTGTTGTTGTCAGGATTTAATTTCTTTAATAGCTATAAAACTATTTATTGTTTTATATCTTATTAAATTCATTGGGGTAAGTTGTATTTTTCAAGGAATTTACTCATTTTATTTAGATTTCCTAAGTTATCAGCATAATACTGTTTATTATATCCTCATATTAGCCTTTGGATGCCTGTAAGTTCTATAGTGATACCCTTACGCTCATTAATTTCTGATATTGGTAATATCTTTTGCTTCTTTTCCCTTGATTAGCTTTACTGGGTCTTTATCAATTTTACTAAGCTTTTCAGAAAAACAAACTTTTAACTTTCTTGTTTTTTCTTTAGTGTATGACTATTTTCTCTTTTATTGATTTCTGCTTTAAGCTTTGGGTACTCCTCCACTCCTAAATTCTTGACACTAATTAATTTGTTTCCAATCTTTATTTTTCTAATATGTACATTTAACCTATAAATTTTTCTCTAAAACTGTTTTATTTATTTCCCACAATCTTTATATTTTTATTATCATTGTACATAAAAGCTTTCTAATTTCCCTTTTAATATCTCCTCTGACCCATAGGCTATTTAGAAGGGCATTGCTTAATTTCTAAATATTTAAAGGTCTTCTACTTACCATTCTTTCATTAATTTAATCATTTGAGACCTCTTGAGATGTGTTTTATAGCCCAGAATATGGACGATTTTGGTAAAATGTTATGTATGCACTTGAAACGAATGTAAATTATTTTGCTTCACTTTCTAGAAATGTCATTTAGGAAAATGTGGTTTAGAACAGTCTTTTTGCCTTCCATTTGTTCTCTCAGTTACCAAGAGGCATGTGTAAAATATCTGTATTAGTTTCCCAGGGCTGCTGTAACAAATTACCACAAACTTGGTGGCTTCAAAGAAGAGAAATTTATTCTCTTAAAGTTTGGAGGCCAGAAATCCAGTTAAGATGTCAATAGGATTGGTTCCATCTGCAAGCTGGTTTGTGCCTCTCTCCAGACTTCCTTCCAGTGGCTGCTGGTGGTCTTCGATGTTCTTTGGCTCATAGATGCATCATTTCCTTCTCGGCCTCCATCTTCTCGTCACCTTCTCCACTGTGTGTTTCCTTTGCTCTTCTGTCTCATATGAAGACACTGGACATGGATTTAGAGGGCCACCCTGGCAATCCAGGATGGTCACAACTCAAGATCATTAACTTGATTGTATCTACAAAGACTCTCCAAATTGGGTCACATTCACTGGTTTCAGAGATTAGGACACAGATATTTTTTAAGGAGGACAGTGGTTATTCAACCCATTACAATCCCAAACTATGACTATGAATTTGCCTGTCTTTCCTCTTTGTTCTAGCAATCTTTACTTTATGGATTTTAAACATGTTATTAAATGCATGAAATTTTTGGTTTATTCTTTCTGCTGAATTGACTATTTTATCATAATGAAATGTCTCTCTTTACCTCTCATAATACTTCTTGCCTTAAAATCTACTTTGTACATTAACACAGCTATATAAACTTTTTTTCTTGTTTTTGTATTATGTGTGTTTTAAATCTTTTACTTTCAGCCCTTCTTTGTCTTATATTTAAAACTTCTCTCTTATAAACATCACATAGTAAGGTTTTGTTGTTTTATTCAATCTTTCTTAGTTGTTCATTGGTGTGTTTGGAACATTTAAATTTAATAATAAAAATTTAAAACAAATAAATAAATTTAATCTAGTTACTGATAAGTCTAACTCTTGATTATTTGTTTTCTCTTTGTTTCATGTGTCTGTTCTTTTATTCCTCATTTCTCACATTTTTTAATTTATCCAGTATTTTTATTATTCTATTTTCCCCAGTAGCTTTTAAGTTATTCTTAAATGACTACTCTAGAGATAGACATCCTTGATTTACTATAGTCTACTAAAATTGTGCTTTTACCACTCTCCAAACAATGCAAGTACCCAAACTATTAATATTTAATTCCATTTGTCTTCCCCCTCTTTTTGTATTGTTGTCATACATTTTGCAAAAAGAAAAGCTTCAGCTGAATTAAATTTAAAAGAGTTTAATTGAGCAATGAACGATTAGCAAATCAGGCAGCCTCCTGAGCCAGAGTAGGCCAGAAACTCCAGTCCAGCTGCATGGTAGAAGAGGATTTATAAACAGAAAAAGGAAAGTGATGTACAGAAAACAGAAGTGAGATACTGCGACAGCCGGATTGGTTATAGCTCAGCGTTTGCCTTATTTGAAGACAGTTCAAACAGTTGGCCACATTTGATTGGCCAAAACTTGGTGATTGGCATAAGAGTAGTCTACGGTCTGTTTACATCTTCACTTATTATAGTTCGCAGTGTACAGAGAAACCTTGAGGCTGAGCTTAAACTATGTAAGGCTTTAGGTTACACTTGATTTAACAAATTACATATATTCTATATTTCAAAGACACTATATTTCAAAATAAATAAAAACAGTATTTATTTATACTTACACCGTAGTGAATTCTTAGAATTTTCATGTTACCTCAGCATCCATTTAGAATATGTTTACCTTTCTCATGCCAGAAGCAGAGCTTAGTCACCCTTATTGCCCTTTCTAGTTCTGTACCTCCTCCCAATTTTCAATGTGGTCGAGCCAGATATCTGCCTTATACAACTGCCTCCTGGTGACCACCTCTCTATGGGACAGCTAGATAAAACCTACTTGACTCGCATCCCTGACCTCTGTGCCCTGCATGGACTTCGCAGATATGCTGCCGTGACCACCTCTCAGTCGCAGCATGCCTTCCTGGAACATGTGCCTGCTTTCTTTAAACTCACCAGTTGGAACTCCCCATGGGAGATACCTGCTGGGTCATACCCTGGTCCCCAATAAAGGCGTTGGCCGATGGGTCCCCTTCTCTCTCTCTCTCTCCATTCCTTGCACTGACCAACCTTTGTGTGACCTTCAGGTGTGCCGTGTACCCCCAGCCCATGATAAAATATTTACTTGCATCTTGTGTTTCTTCTAATCATTGAAGAGGTTCTCTCTATCACAAAGATCCTAAATGAAAACATACCCACATATGAACTCTTTCTGGTGTGTTTCCTTCTTACTGCAATTCTATCAATTCTATATGAAACTATTTTCCTTCAGCCTGAAAAAGTCTCTGGCAATTTTGTATTGTAGATCTTCTGAAAACAAATTCTTTAAACATTTTTCTAATTGTGGTTCCTTTGAAGGTTATTGTCCATGTTTCCTGGCTTCTTTTAAAATGGATTACACTTTAAAATAGATTTTTTACAATATTACTGTGTTGTGTCTAGGTAAGAATTTCTTTGTATTGCTTGGGTTTGCATAGTTGGTTTTTTTGTTTGTTTGTTTGTTTGTTTGTTTTTTGACAGAATTTCGCTCTTTTCACCTGGGTTGGAGTGCAGTGGTGTGATATCTCGGCTCACTGCAACCTCAGCCTCCTGGGTTCAAGTTATCAACCCACCTCAGCCTCCCAAGTAGCTGCGATTACAGGCCTGTGCCTCCATGCCTGGCTAATTTTTATACTTTTAGTAGAGATGGAGTTTCACCATTTTGACCAGGTTGGTCTCAAACTCCTGACAGGAGGTGATGTGCCCACCTCAGCCTCCCAAACTGCTAGGATTACAGGCGTGAACCACCACGCCAGGCCTGTATAGCCTTTTGGATCTGTAATTTAATGATGTCTTGCATCAGTCTTGGAAAATTCCCAGTTATTACTTCTTCAAATGTTGTTTATGCTCTGTTATCTCTCTCTTCTCATTGAGGGACTTCAGTTAAACATGTTAGGCTTTATTCTTCTATGTAGTTAGTCTGTATTTTTTAATCTTTTTATTTATTGGTGCTTTGTTCTGAGTATTTTCTTCTGTTCTAGCTTTCAGTTCATTGATTTTCCTTCAGATTCTAACCTGCTATTAATCTCACACAAATTCTTAATTTCAGCAATCATATTTTACTTTAAGAATTCTAGAGTGTTTTTATTTTCCAAATCTGCCCTCTTCCTTTTTTTTTTTTTTTTTTTTTTTGAGACAGGGTCTCACTTTGTTGCCCAGGTTGGAGCACAGTGGCATAATCACAGCTCGCTCAATCTTCACAGGCTCAAGCAATTCTCCCACCTCAGCCACTTGAGTAGCTGAGAATGCAGGTTTGCACCACCACACCTGCACACCCAGCTTTTTTTTTTTGAGATGGGGTTTCGCCAAGTTGCCCAGGCTGGCCTCGAACTCCTGAGCTCAAGCGATCCACTCGATCCACTCTCCTCAGCCTCCCAAAGTGTTAGGATTACAGGCGTGAACCACCACACCCCACCCTGTTCTTTTTAATAGTTTCTAGTTCTTGCAAGTTTCAATTATATCCTTCAACAGATCTGTAGTTCTAATGGGTCAGTTTCTGTCATCGGTAATTGTGTGTGTTATTTTATCTCCTCAAGTATCTGGTTATCTTTGTGCATCAGGAATTATATTTGAAAATGTGTCTATAGAAATAATTTCAAGGCCTTAGATAACCCATCTTCTTCCAGATAGAATTTTTGTCTTGTTTCTGCAGGCATTTGGGGACCTTAGCACTCTAGGACCACTCTAATTCAGTCTAGGAACTGTGATTTTCTGGGGCCAGCCACAGTACCAGTACTTGAAGTACTAGTTCCAGTGTCTGAGACAGCAGATTTTTTTTCAGTTAACCCTGATTACCATGGCCTAGTTTTTGTGGCCTCAGAACACATCAGAAGGTATTACCAGGCTTTCCATTAGGGGCAGGCCCTGGACTTCCATCGTTGTCCCTTAACTTCATGAGACAATCAAAAGTCCGTTCAGTCTCTCAGTTACCCAGTCCTGATACAGCTACCCATTCCCAAACAACAAGCAGCCCAGTTGCCAAGCCCAAATACCCAGCTCTCAACTGGATTTTCATCTTCTCCTAGATCATGGCCCAGGAATGCTTTACTAGTTTGTTAGCTTTCTGCTGCCTTCACAGATAAATATTTTTGATTTTTCAGTATTTCTAGCCTTTCTTGAGGGTGGATGGTTGGAGCAATATTTTATTTGAATTGTTGAGATTACTCTTACTAGAAGCAGAGCCTGAAAAATTTTTATTTTTAATTTTAATTAATTCATTCATGTCCAAATTTATCTGATTAAATACACTCATTTTTAATTCCAAGTTTTTTGGGATTGGGGGTTGAAGTAATTTTGTTCTAGTTTATGGCAATACAGTATACTATGTACTATTGCTACATTTTTAAATGTATTTAGGGGTTTTGGTGGACTAATATATGATCACTTTTACACAGATATCATCTTATGATATCAAACTTAGATCTGATGAAATGAGTTGGTAAGCTTCATATCTTTTATATATTGTGAAACCTTGAAATTACATTTGGAAGTATCTTTATGAATGAATTTTGGCAATTTGTATTTCCATTTATATTATTTAGATTTTCAAAATATTTAACCCCCAGTAATCTACAGTTTTATAAATAGTCTCATATATATATAAGTATGTTTAAATTCTTTTTCCTACTGTGTATATTTGTGTTTTCTCTCATCCCTTATAATTTATCTTTCAGCAAATGTTTTCGTATTTTATTTTTCTAAAAAAGCTAACCTCAGTTAATAACAAAAATGGAAATTAAGAAAGCAAATGGGAAAGAACAGGAGAAAACTGTATAAACTCTATAACACGATGATCAAAGAGCTATTTAAAATGAAAAGAATGTGGATCGAGTGAATACATGCATGCAAATACTATAGCAAATCATATAAGTAAGAAAGGCAGGACACTGAAGTTACAACTTTATAAAAATGTAACCTTCGTGTTAGCAAAGATTAAAAGTAAATAATGAACGTAAAAATAGCTAAAGTTTAGTGACTCATGAGATGCTTGTCATTCATTATTTAAACTGACTGTTATTTAACTTTCTCTTCCTTTCCCCAGAAATTTCTTGTGGGCTACCACCCACCATAGACAACGGAGATTTCTTTAGTGCTAACAAAGAGTATTTTCACTATGGATCTGTGGTGACCTACCACTGCAATCTTGGAAGTGGAGGGAGAAAGCTGTTTGAGCTCGTGGGTGAGCCCTCCATATACTGTACCAGCAATGAAGATCAAGTGGGCATCTGGAGCGGCCCAGCCCCTCAGTGCATTTTACCTAACAAATGCACGCCTCCAAATGTGGAAAATGGAATATTGGTGTCTGTCAAAAGAAGCTTATTTTCCTTAAATGAAGTTGTGGAGTTTAGGTGTCAGCCTGGCTTTGTCATGAAAGGACCCCGCCATGTGCAATGCCAGGCCCTGAACAAATGGGAGCCAGAGTTACCAAGCTGCTCCAGGGGTGAGTCTGACTGAGGCCTAGAAGGGCCCTGCAAATGACATGCATTGCTGTTGGATCAGGAGATTAGTATTTGTTCAGGGGGAGGGATGTGTACTGAGTAGAGTCGGGAGCAAATTTTCTAGACAGTGAACACGAAATTCAGAAGGTGTGTGTACATACACATGTGCTGAAATTGAGAAGCAAAGCTCAACCCGGGCAAGGAATATGATGTTTCTTTGGGGTTCTTATAAACAGATCTGTCAATTACTTTTGCGTATAATAATTGTTGATACAAAATGAGTGATTCCTCTGGCCAGGCACTATAATACAGGCTACATGTGAATTTTAATCCTTCAAACAAAGTTATTCGGTAGTTACCAGTTGTTCTGTTTGTCTGTTTTGTTTTGCTTGAGATACTGTCTTGCTCTGTCACTCGGGTTGGGCTGCAGTGGTGCCATCATGGCTTACTTCAACCTCTGCCTCCCTGGGTCAAGCAATTCTCCTGCCTGAGTCTCCCAAGTAGCTAGGACTATTGGTGCATGCCACCATGCCTGGTTAAGATTTTTATGTTTTTTTGTACAGATAGAGTCTCACTATTTTACCCAGGCTGGTCTCAAACTCCTCAGCTCAAGCAACCTACCCACCTTGGCCTCCCAAAGTGCTGGGATTATAGGCATGAGCCACCACGCCAGGTCTCGATGTTTTACAGAGAATATGTGCCTTAGAGAGATCAGATAACTTTCTAAGATACTAACTTGCAGACAAAACTGGAATGCAAGCCCGCCTCACTCCAAGTCTTGGCTTTGCTAATCAGCATCCAGTCATGCAATCAAAACTTACTCTAGATACTTTCCAGGAGGGAGGGATTTCATGCAGGTTGTATTAGTCTGTTCTCACATTCCGGTAAAGAACTACTTGAGACTGGGTAATTTATAAAGAAAAGAGGTTTAATTGACTCAGAGTTCTGTAGGCTGTACGGGAGGCATGGCTAGGGACACCTCAGGAAAGTTACAATCATGGTGGAAGGCAAAGAGGAAGCACCTATATCTTCATATGGTTGGCAGGAGAGAGAGAGAGCAAGGTAGAGGTGCTACACACTTTTAAACAAGCAGATCTCGAAAGAACTCTATCACAGGACAGCACTAGGGTGATGGTGCTAAACCATTAGAAACCACCTCCATGATCCAGTCACTTCCTGCCAGGCTCCTATTCCAACAAAGGGAATTACAGTTTGACATGAGATTTGGGTGGGGACACAGAGCCAAACCATATCACAGCTAATAGGTCACAAAGATGTTAGAAGGGCAGGAAAAGCAATAAGACGAAGGCAGAGTTACCAGAGATCAGGGAGCTGCTGTGGCTGCCAGTCTAGAGAACAGGAGCCTGTACTGATGCTGAAATGGCCAGCCCCTCCCACTGAGCAGGCAGCTCCCTGAAAGCTGCTAATGCTGCAGGAGCCACCACTGCTGCCAGAATGCAGCTGATATTGTTGGAGCCAAAGTCATTGGCATCACTAGAATTGAAGCTGTAGCTGCTCACTAAAGTCATCTATACTGCCACTGTCTGCGCCACCTCTAGAAGTAGAACATATTCTGCCATTATCCTGCCTTTTAATTTGGTATATATGCCTCCAACTGTCAGAACCTAACCAGAGCCGAGCTATCAAGGAAGACAAATGATTGTAGTTTTAAGGCTTCCATTGCTAGCAGTCGAAAGACAGTGCAGAAGTGTGAGGCTGGGGGCCGACAGAAATTTAATCAGGACAGCACCTCAATATTATATCACCAGGCATTGATTAGACAAGAGAAACACTGGGTGATGAGTCCTGAAAATGGACATTACAGCATCAGAGTATTTACATACTCCTTAAAGAAGTCATTTTTCTAGTCCAATCCTCCATCTGATGCTTGAGAAAGCTGAAGTCCAGAAAAGGGAACTGGTCTGCTCAAAGCCAAACTGAAATTATTTTTTCCATTTTTTAACAGTTTTATGTAATTTAGTTGAGACCCAAATGTGTTCTGACTTCCCGAGATCAGATCAACATATTAAGAGAGAGCCAGAGCTGCCATTACAATACGTTGCGTGAAATATACACTCTCATTATGGTGACAGAAGGTCTTTTAGATTTTGTTAGACAGTTGCCCACCTTCTCACTAGAGTGAAATGAATGACTAGGCAGCACCTTGCTTCATAGCATGAAGAGAGGAGACCCATAGTTCGTTACTGCCCTATGTCAGGTGGCCGCTGAGAGAAGCCTTGACAGGAAATGAGAGTAGATGTATGGACGCTGTTTGTTGCACCAGTGTGATAGGTGACGGAGGGACCTATTAGACAAGACATGGGCAGGGGCACTCCTTTATTGCCTAAAATGCAAGACTAAATTGGTGATGCGTTTCTAGAAAGGAAGTATGAAGATATAATAAGCCATCATTCCTCCCAATTTTGTACTGGGTGAACAGTAATTGGAAGCATTCTACAAGGAACTGTCCATTGTGAAATCTTAGTTGCATGCTTTAGATGAAAAGCAATGAATTGAGGATACCTCTGTTTTAGTCACAGTTCTGCAATGTGTCAGTTCTATGACTGATGGCAAGACATCTTCCTTGCCCTGTGTATTTAGTTTGTTATCAATATAATAAAGCTCTTATCTTACCTTTATTATCATAAATAGATTTGTAATTATTATTCCCTTGGCCAGTTAAACAGTGAGAAAATTAGCAATACTTTGTTTCTCTCTCCCCAGTATGTCAGCCACCTCCAGATGTCCTGCATGGTGAGCGTATCCAAAGGGACAAGGACATCTTTCAGCCTGGGCAGGAAGTGTTCTACATCTGTGAGCCCGGCTATGACCTCAGAGGGGCTGCGTCTCTGCGCTGTACACTCCAGGGAGACTGGAGCCCTGCAGCCCCCAGATGTGAAGGTGCCTAGACTCTTGTCTGGCTTGATATTTTTAGCTTGCGTCTTTATTCTCCACATGCCAATATTTTCTGTTCATTTTTCTTTTACTCCAGCGAAATCCTGTGATGACTCCCTGGGCCAACTTCCTAATGGTCGTGTGCTATTTCCACGTAGTCTCCAGCTTGGAGCAAAAGTGGATTTTGTTTGTGATGAAGGGTGAGTGTGAGCTTGCCTGACCTCCTGGACATTGAAATTGGGGCTGGGAATTAGTTTTATTATTATTATTATTATTTTTTTTTTTTTTTTTTTTTTTTTTTTTTTTTTTTTTTGAGACGGAGTCTCGCTGTGTCTCCCAGGCTGGAGTGCAGTGGCGTGATCTCGCTCACTGCAAGCTCCGCCTCCCGGGTTCACGCCATCTCCTGCCTCAGCCTCCCAAGTGCTGAGACTACAGTGCCCCCCACGCCCGGCTAGTTTTTTGTATTTTAGTAGAGACGGGGTTTCACCATGTTAGCCAGGATAGTCTCGATCTCCTGACTCGTGATCCACCGCTCGGCTCCAAAGTGCTGGATTACAGGCTGAGCCCGCGCCGGCCGGGAATTAGTTTTAAAAGGGGAGATTTGGTTTGGCTTAAAAGAAAGACACACACACACACACACACACACACACACACACACACATTCAGAGAGATGAACTTCCCAAAGTATACATAGGAAGAAAGGAAAGAAATGCACAGAACTAATAACATGAGATATGAAGAGGAAACTGGAACATATATTAACTGGCAAGTTCAAAGGCAAGTATAACTACTGGTTATGAAAATATGGGTAACACATTAAGTAAAAAATATCAGCCAGGCATGGTGGCTCATGCCCATGGTGGCTCATGCCTGTAATCCCAGCACCTTTGGGAGGTTGATCTGAGGCGAGCAGATCACCTGAAGACAGGAGTTGGAGACCAGCCTGGCCAACATGGTGAACCCCGTCTCTACTAAAAACACAAAAGTTAACTGGGCTTGGTGGCATGTGCCTGTAATCCCAGCTACTGAGGTACGAGAATCACTTGAACCTGGAAGGCAGAGTTTGCAATGAGCCGCGATGGCACCATTGCAATCCAGTGTGGACAATAAGAGTGAAACTCCGTCTCAAGAAAAATAAATCATGTTTTACAAGCAAAAAGAATATGAGTAATTTAGAGAGTCCAAGAAAAAAAACTGCAAGTAACAAAAAGCTTATTCTTAATAACTGGGATCATTTAAGAATCATTTCAGTAAATTCTTTAAACCATCTATAGTGAAATTTGTAATAGGAATGAAAATGTAAAAATCAGCATTTTTTAAAAATTCAGTCATATATAATCTGGCTATTCATGGGCTCTGGGCTCTGAGCTGGGGTCCTGATGGCTGCTGCTATTTCCGGCAAGGTCATTACCTTGTTTATGTCCATCTAGTGCTCTTCACAGATGCACAGGGTGCACATCTCTACACGGGAGCTGACCAGCATGGGCAACAAAGCACCTGATCCCAAAATGTTCCACAGAATCTTGGCAGCCTCCAAATGCCAGCACCCAGTAAGAGTTAGAAGGGCATCAGGGCCCAACAGATATTGAGAATTTTCGACGATTGCATACAGAAATCCAGTCCTCTCTTCTTTCCTTTTTCCCCTAGAATATTCACGCTTACTCTTCAGCAGCCCAAACTGCCCTTGTGAGCCTTCTTCACGCCATCACAGATGTGGAGATGAAAGGACACTCTCTGTTCTTTCGCCAGCTATTTCCCACTTTTCCAAACTGGGAGCTGTTTTACAAACTGGGAGCTGTTTACTTGCTGTTCCAGCATCAGAGTTAGGAAGGCATTGCATTAGAAGACTGGGTTTCTAGTAATGACAATGAGTGATTTATCAGGTTATCATGGAGTAATCAGTGAAACTCCAAGCCTGGGTCCTGGGTCCAGGAGATGGCGCCCATGTCACGACCACCTTTTTCAATTCAAGCAGGACTGTCATGTGACCAAGTTACTGCATTTTGCCATTCTATATTGCTCCCTTCTGGAGACTGTGAGCTTCCAGAATAACGTAGCCTGTGCAACTCTGCCACCTGCTGGCCTCAGGTCCTCAAAATCCTGAGATTTAGGGCTGGGCCTTAGATTGTGAACCAAGAGTCCTCTTGGCTGAAGCAGCTCACTATTCACTCCTATTTTCTCCTTTAGATTTCAATTAAAAGGCAGCTCTGCTAGTTACTGTGTCTTGGCTGGAATGGAAAGCCTTTGGAATAGCAGTGTTCCAGTGTGTGAACGTGAGTAATAGGAGTAACATTTCAGGCCAGTCTCTCCCCTTCATCTGTTCAGTATTTGACCCATGACCTCCCCTAATGTGGTTCTTCAATTTTCTAGTCCGAATTATTGATTTGAAAATTGCTTATTTTAATACTGTTTGGTTGTGAATCAATGTGTACATCACCTGTCTTTGGAATCATCTGATCTGTCTCTGTCCTTCTATATTCTGTGTTCTACCGCAATAAAGCCTACGGTAGTGTGCTTCTAGGAGTTTCAGGAGAGATCAGATAATGTGAAGCTTTAACAATTTACTTTGTTTCTCTCTTTCTTTCTTTTTTCTCTTCCTTTCTTCCTCCCTTCTTTCTTTTTCATTTTGTTCTTCCATCAGGTGCAATCAGTCTACAATTTTTGTATGTATTTGATAATACACAAATATTAAACATGCCTTTATTTAATTATATTTATTGATCACATACTTTGTGCCTGATGTTCATCTAGCCACTGGAGTTTTATCAATGAACAAGACGAATGAATTCCCTGTCCCCATGTTGTTTCTCCTCAGGTGGGGAGAGGGACAAGAAAAAAAATAAATTCAATGCTATGAAGATAATAGAGCAAAGCACTGAGGAATGAGGGAAAAGTGGGATGCAACATTAGACAGGGCGAGCAGTTGGAGACTCCTTAATTTCTCAAAACATGTACCTAAGTCATTTATGCTGAGAGATTCATAAATAATAAGTTCATTTTTGAAAAAAAGAGCCCCATATGTTCAATAATCAGTAGACTACTGATTTCTCCTAGTCTAACTATTTGTAATTTCCCTAATGGAAGATAGAACTTTGCTTCATTTCTTGATTCTAACAATTGGAAAACATGTTTCTTTAGAAGACCATGAAATTTTACTAAAATGTTTGTGTTGTTAGAAATATACTTGGACATCTTACAGTGCTTTTTAGAGGAAAATTTTGTAAGAACAAAACTTATATAGAGATTCTTGCTGTCTAAGTAATCCAGTGCTCCTTGAAGCAGCATGACAAATGTCTGTTCTACTATTATGCATTAAAACTCATTGACTGACTACTCAAGATTTCTCTTATTTTTCACAACTCTTGCTAATTAAAGTAGCTTCTTCCAAATTCCAGTTCTAACGAAAAACGCCAATTAGAAATGAGGGAAAGACTGTTCTAAACAAATCAGCAGATGCTAGAAAGGAGTAACAACTTGAAACCTGACCCAGAACGTAAAAAGAGAAAATTAATCATCAACAGACACAGACATTTTCAAAAGCAAAGCAATCTGAATCCATTTGGAGTTTTTTATAATGGCCTGACTACGTTTCAGTTCACTGTGACAGGGCTATTGTTATCACAGAGATTGATGATCAGTATCAATAAGTAATCAGTGGAAGGTTTCACCTATTTAAGATGATTAGCACACATATATGCATTTGAGAAATATTTCCCAAGAACGTAGGCTCCTTCCTCAGCACTGCATCCCCAGGATCCTGATGAGTGGCTGACACAGGACAAGTGCTCAATTAATATATATTGACTAAATGAATGAGTAACCCTTGAAAATGGTTATTTTTCTTCTTCGAATGTTTTGCTACTTCATTAAAGTTGTAACGTTTCTGTAGTCCAGGAACCGTTACTATCTGGAAGATTCAGGATAGAAAAATCTCTTTTGTACTTTGCAATACACTTTCAATGACATCTCATTTAATCCAACTCTTCGAAGTCCTAATGTATACTGTCACCTCCTTAGTATATTTTCAGCAACAACAATCATAGCACTCTGTAATTGCTGAATCATAGCACTCAGAGAATACCTCTGGGGAAACTCCTGAATGAAACTTAGAGCTTTTGCCTTTTTTCCAGAAATCTTTTGTCCAAGTCCTCCAGTTATTCCTAATGGGAGACACACAGGAAAACCTCTGGAAGTCTTTCCCTTTGGAAAAGCTGTAACTTACATATGTGACCGCCACCCAGACAGAGGGATGACCTTCGACCTCATTGGGGAGAGCACCATCCGCTGCACAAGTGACCCTCAAGGGAATGGGGTTTGGAGCAGCCCCGCCCCTCGCTGTGGAATTCTGGGTTAGTGCTCATTTCCCCACATCCCAAATGGGTTCAGAATACCTAACGCAGGCCCTCCATATTTCCATAATTACAGTATGGTTTCTCTGTGCACATTTGCCACAATGGAATGCCCAACCAATGATAAATGGTCCTAAGGTAGGTCAACATATGAGATCCTGATGACCTTTGCATCTGGAGGGACTGATGAAAAAACAAGGACGCAGTGAGTGGTGGGAAAGTCCTTCATTAGAATCATATGAATTAAAAACAAATGCTTGTGTATCTCCTCATTGAAATGTTTGGCTTAGAAATATGACCTAGAAAATCAGTGGCTCCTGCTGCCAGGAAATGTCTTGAGTTCCTGCCCATGCTTGTCAACCTCTCATTGGAGTTTTGATGCCTTGAAGTACAAGGAAACCAGACACGAAAGGTGGAAGCTGGGCAGAAACACTCTTTCTGGAGTCCTAAAAATGTGAAAAATTAAATCAGAGCTATATTTACATTAAATTAGATGAGCATTAGCTGAGCGTGGTGGCAATTGCCTGTGTTCCCAGCTATTCGGGAGGCTGAGATGGGAGGATCACTTAAGCCTGGGAGGCAGAGGTTGCCATGAGCTGAGACTGTGCCACTGCACTCCAGCCTGGGTGACAGAGTGAGACTCTATCTCAAAAACAATGAAAATAGGCTGGCCGCAGTGGCTCACACCTGTAATCCCAGTACAGATCACTTGAGGTCAAGAGTTCCAGATCAGAATGCCAACATGGTGAAACTCCAATTATACTAAAAATAAAAAAATAATAAAATAAAATTAACTAAATTATATGAGTAGAAAGACCCGATAACAGACTAATCTTCCAGGTAATATACTTCCTTATAAGCCTATGCTAATGGAACTTTCCCTTCCATTTTACAGGCAAGTTATGTGTGTGTGTGTGTGTGTGTGTTTTGTTGTTTTTTGTTTTTTGTTTTATAACTAAGAGTTTCTTTTCTTCTGGCATCAATCTACCCCAGAAGAGAAAAGAGGAAGCACATTGGGTATATTTTTATTAACTCAGATATTCTTGATTTCTTGGTCTCTAGGTCACTGTAAAGCCCCGGATCATTTTCCGTTTGCTAAGTTGAAAACCCAGACCATTGCATCTGACTTTCCCATTGGGACATCTTTAAAGTACGAATGCCGTCCTGAGTACTACGGGAGGCCGTTCTCTATCACATGTCTGGATAACCTGGTGTGGTCGAGTCCCAAAGATGTCTGTAAACGTGAGTGAACTTGCATTGGATCTTTCCCATGTCTGCAAAAGCTTCTTATTGAATGTTTTCAAATGTGGGATATGAGAAACCTTTTTTGAAAAGTGTTCAGATGGGTGGATGTAAGTTTTTCTTGTAGGTCATCCTTGATTATTGCTTGAAATGCTCACTTTATGAGAATGTTTCAAGGAATATTTGTAGAGAAAATCTTCATTCCCTATAGGAAAGAAAATAATACATGACTCTAGATCAGGGGAATAAATGGTGTAGGAAGACAAATTCTGTTTGAATAACTAGGTGGGAAGAAATCCTTTGCAAACTTTGAAATATATTAGCAGTAGATAATGCCATAAGTGACTTTTACATTCTGATAAGGGATGCAAGGTCTCTACACAGATCTAAATCTAGATCTAGATAGATCTGGAGGGAAGGTCTTTTTCAAAGTGGGGCTTAGTAGGTGGCTGATCCTGAGGGGCTCTGATGAGTTTTCTCAAGGTGGCAAAATCTGTGGAACCATCAGAACTGCGTATTTTCTTCAGCAAGCTACATGTTGATGGAGACCTTACTTACTGAAGAGAGTCCTGATTACTCTACCTGGCTCCAAAGCACTTTCTTTCCCATAGGTAAATCATGTAAAACTCCTCCAGATCCAGTGAATGGCATGGTGCACGTGATCACAGACATCCAGGTTGGATCCAGAATCAACTATTCTTGTACTACAGGGTGAGTTGGCAGCAACATCTCTTGGTTTAAGAGTTCCAGCACAGCAATACTACCTTCTAGCCACATCTCAGGTTGGAAACCAGGCTATTGCCACCTGCTCTTAAGAGGCTTGAACACAGGTGTTAACTCCTGATTGAAATGAACAATGATAGGAGAAGATTAGGGCAAAAATCTGTATCCTTGCTGGAAGCCAGGGCAGTGCACATATAAAGAGTATGCCGTTCACCGGATGGGAAGGAAAAATAATTAGGAGTGTAGTAGTCAAAGCCCACGAACAACCCTAACCCAGAGTAGACATTGCTGGAAGAAAAGGAAGACCATGTAGCAGCTGTGTGAGAGAACAAATCTAATGATAACAGCATGATCCCTTGCTAGGGCTGGCATCAAAAAGTACAGGGCTTCCTTGTTTTATTGTACTTTGCAGATGTTATGCTTTTTATAAATTGAAGGCTTGTGGCAACACTGCGACAAGCATGTCAGTTGTATCATTTATCCAACAGTGTGTGTTCACTTCGTGTCTCTGTGTGACATTTTGGTTATTCTCACAATATCCCAGATGTTTTCATTATTATCATGTCTATGATAGTGATCTGTCATCAGTGATCTTTCATGTGACTATTGTCATTGTTTGGGGTCCCTACGAACTGCACCCATATAAGACAGAAAACTTGATCAATAAATGTGCGTGCTTTGACTGCTCCATGGACTAGACATTCCCCTTCTCTCTCCCTCTCTTCAGGACTCCCTAATCCCTGAGACACAGTAATGCTACAATTAGGCCACTTAATAGCCCTACACTGGCCTTTAAGTGTTGACATGAAGGGAGGAGTCATGCATCTCTTACTTGAAATCAAAAGCTAGGGATGATTAAGCTTACTGAGGATAATATGTTGAAAACCAAGATAGGCCAAAAGCCATTCATCGTGTGCCAAACAGCTAGAGAGTTGTAAAGGCAAAGCAAAAGTACTTGAAGGAAATATAAAGTACTGTTCCAGTGAACACATGAATAATAAAACGTGAAACAGCCTTATTGCTGATAGGGAAGAAGTTTTAGTGGTCTACATACAAGATCAAACTAGACACATTTTCTGAAGCCAAAGCCTAATCCTGAGCAAGGCCCTAACTCTCTTCAATTCTATGAAGGCTGCCAGAGGTGAGGAAGCTGCAGAAAAGAAGCTGGAAGCTAGCAGAGGTTGATTCCTGAGGTTTAAGGAAAGAAGCCCTCTCCATAACATTAAGGTCGAAGGTAAAGCAGCAAGTGCTCATGTAGAAGCTGCAGCAAGTTATCTAGAAGATCTAGCTAAGATCATGGATGAAGGTGTTACACTAAATAACAGATTTTCCATGTAGACAAAACAGTCATCTGTTGGACTTTCATAGCTAGAGAGGAGAAGTTAATGCCTGGCTTCAGAGCTTCAAAGAACAGGCTGACTTTTTAGGAGCTAATGCCATTGGTGACTTTGAGTTGAAGCCAAAGCTTACTGACCATTCTAAAAATTCTAGGGCCCATAAGTATTATGCTAAATGTACCTTCCCTGTGTCTATAAATGCAACAACAAAGCCTGACGACAGAAGTATGTTTGCAGCATGGTTTGCTGAATATTTTAAGTCTACTGTTGAGATCTAGTGCTCAGAAAAACAGATTCCTTTCAAAATATTACTGCTCATTGACATTACACCTAGACAGCTAAGAGCTCTAATGGAGATGGACACGGAGATGAATGGAGTTTTCCTGCCTGCTGACCACAGCAGCCATTCTGCAGACCATGGCTGAAGGAGTAATTTTGACTTTCAAGTTTCATTATTTAAGAAATATATTTTGTAAGGCCAGTTCCCACAGACAGTAATTCCTCTGATGGATCTGAGCAAAGTAAGTTGACAACTGCTGGAAAGAATTCATCATTCTACATATCATTAAGAACATTCATGATTCATGGGAAGAGGTTAAAATATCAACATTAACAGGAGTTGGTAGAAGTTAATTCCAACTTTTACGGCTGACTTTGAGAGGTTCAACACTTCAGCAGAGGAAATAACTGCAGATGTGGTGGAAATAGCAAGAGAACTACAGTCAGAAATGGAACCTGAAGATGTGACTGAATTGCTACAAATTCATGATCAAAGTTGAACAGATGAGGAGTTCCTTCTTATGAATGAGCAGAGAAAGTGTTTTGTTTTTTTGTTTTTTTGTTTTGTTTTGTTTTTTTTGAGGTGGAGTCTCTTCCTGGTGAAGATGACATGAGCATTGTGAAAATGACGACAAAGGATTTAGAATATTACATAAACTCAGTTGATAAAGCAGCAGCAGTATCTGGGAGGATTGACTCCAATTTTGAAAGCAGTTCAGAGGGTAAAATGTTATCAAATAGCATTGCATGCTAGAAAAATCTTTTGTGAAAAGAAGTGTCAATCAATACAGCAACTTTATTGTTGTCTCAGCTTAAGAAATAGCCACAGCCACCCCAGCCTTCAGCAACCACCCCCCTGAGCAGTCAGCAGCCATCAATCTTGAGGCAAGACCCTCCACCAGCAAAAAGATTACGACTGATTGAAGGTCAGATAATCTTTAGCATTTTTTATCAACAAACCATTTTTTAAAGTATGACTTTTTTCAGATATAATTCTATTTCACATTTAATAGACTACCGTATAGTACAAACACAACTTTTACACTCACTGAGAAATCAAAAAATTCATATGACTCATCTGTTGTGATATTTGTTTTATTGTGGTGTTCTGGAACTGAACCTGCAATATCCTTGAGGAATGTCTGTAACACAAAATGGGCAGCTTAATACAACAGAAGTTTTTGGAGTTCTATTCTAGAGGATGGGAGTCCAAAATCGAGGTGTTGGCAGGGCCATGCTCCCTCTGAATCCTGTAGGGTAGAATCCTTCATTGCATCTTCCAGCTTCTGGAGCCCCAGGCCTTCCTAGGTGTGTGGCAGCGGAACTCCAATTTCTTCTGTCCCTGTCCTCACATGGCCATCTTCCCTCCGGGTCTGTGTCCTCATATGCTGTTCTCCTCTCTGTGCATGTTTCTGTTCAAAGTTTTCCCTTTTTATCAGGACACCAGGCATATTGGATTAGGGCGTACCTTAGTGACCTCATCTTAACTTGATTGCATCTGCAAAGATTGTATTTCCAAATAAGATCACATCCACAGGGACTGGGGGTTAAGACTTCAACATATCCGGGGGAGACACAATTCAACCTGCAACAGAGCCCCTTTGAAAATGTCAAGCGTCAGGTGCTCACAGTGCAGGGCCCAGCTGTTGGTGCTCAGCCTTGCTCAGCACACAGTGGAGGCTCTGCCCCAAGCTCACTCTTCATGGGAACAGCTAAGCCAGGTAGTGAGTAGGGGATATGTTTGTGCCACTGCAACCAGTACTGAAAGGAAGCTTGTGGTGTCCAGCATATTTGCCAGCCTAGGCCTCACAGACCATAGCACCTAGAATCTGACAAAGTAAAATTAGAATAAATCCAGTATCTCCTTTACTTTTTTTTTTTTTTGGAGCATTTTTAAATACAATTGATAAATTTCCTGACTGTACCCTCCTCATCTTGCATTGCTGAATAAGGGGGGAACCTCTCTAAGGCATACAGCACAAAACCATTGAGCTTATGACTAGAAACAGGAAATACATGTAAAAGAGACCAGTCTGAAAAATCAGGAGAAATTTTACAAAGAGATTTACTGCCAAGAAACCAGGGAAACTTTCTGAACACTCTCCTTTTCATATTTGTAATAAGATTCAACTGTGCAAATACTTCTGTGAAACTAGCCATAAAATTTGTACATGAAGGAATATATATATTCAGTGTGTTTATATATTTCATTTCATACATGTGATATATATATACATACATATACTTACATATATATATCTCACAATGAATATTGCAGGAAATTAAAGCGAAGAGTAAGAGGAGTTAACCAAATTTTCCCTGAATGCAGCGGGGAAAGCTGAAAAGGAGAAGACAGGCAGGCACAGTGGCTCACACCTGTAATCCCAACACATTGAGAGGCTGAGACAAGAGGATCACTTGAGCCCAGGAGCTCGAGACCAGCCTGGGCAACATGGCAAAACCCCATCTCTACAAAAAAGTATAAAAATTAGCTGGGTGTGGTGGTGTGTGCCTGTAGTCACAACTAAGCAGGAGACTGAAGTGGGAGGATCACCTGAGCCCAGGAGGCTGAGGCTTCAGTGAGCCATGATGGCACCCCTGCACTCCAGCCTGGATGAGAGAATGAGATCCTGTCTCCAAAAATGAAGAAGGAAAGACATATGTAACACAGTGTCAGGATTCAAAATACATGTAACAAAAATTCCAGAAGGGTAAACAAATAAGCCCATACTTAGCCATCACTAGGGAAACTTCTGTGTTTCAGGGATAAAGAAAAAACTCAGATCCCAGAAATAGAACATGAAAATATAGTACCCGCAAAAGAAATAAATGTATTGACACCACATTGATTCTGTACAACACTAAATGGTATAAGGTAGCATTTCTATTGCACCAAGCTAATATTCACACCTAGAGGCTCAGGTACACATTAAAGGATAAGCAAAGACACAACAATTGTACCATTTAAGTATGTTTCCCAGGCAATTTATAAGCAAATTTTCTAAAAGGAGAATGATGAATTCCAAAAGAAATCTCAACAACAACAACAACAAAAATACACACAAAAACTTGGCAATGTACTCATGACTTATTAATAATCTCTCTAAACTCATAGAACATATCAATAAAACTAGAAAATGTGAGACAGTAAAAGGTAGGCTAGACTTACATTACACTAAAGATGAGTAGACTGAGTATATAGAGTTTGACTCTAAAATTGAGAAAATAGGTTTTAATATGTGTCATGTGTATATGTATAATATATGTACACACATACAAAATGAAATTCCTCATTGGAAAACCTATTAGGCTTATTTCTAAATTATTAGAATGACTAAAAACAGCTGAATCTATCTGTTCCATATAGTAAGTGAGAGGGAAGGAAAAGGAATAGCAAGGAATGCATTTGTCTCTTTCACCAGAAATAAGCCCCCGCATGCTGGGTCAGGTCATTTTATTCATTGCTTTCTCCTCATCAATGTCATTGGGCATCGTGAAATCAATGAAAAAGGCAGTGAAAGAACGATGATGAAAGCAAATCAAATACATCATTTATCTCAATACATGTGATTTAATCTTCTTGTTGAAAGACAAAGTCTCCCAGATAAGATCAAGAGCAACAAATCGTGTATTCACAAAAAACATGTCTCAAGTAAGATGACATCGTATAATGCACACACACACACACAAAATAAGGAAAAATGCAAACAAAAAATGGCAGAAATAATATTTAGAGAAAATAGAATTTATGAAAAAAAAGTCAAACAGGTCTACAAAATAATTGTTTTATTTTGGTGCCGGGTACAGTCCACAATGAAGCCAAGATATGAAGAAGCAAATGGGCCAGGAGAAGTTAGAGCAGAAATATTTCTTTCAATAGCGAGAGAATAGGAAAAAGAACTAGAAAAGCTGGGAACAACAGGTAAAGTTTAGGCTAGGCCTTAGACTTCTCCTACATTGTAATCCTTCTGGTTTGCCACATATGCATGCTGTGAGGACGTTGATGAGGCATGTACAGCACAATTATTTTCCACTGTTTGCCTTTAGGCACCGACTCATTGGTCACTCATCTGCTGAATGTGTCATCTCAGGCAATACTGCCCATTGGAGCAAGAAGCCACCAATTTGTCAACGTGAGTTGAAGTCTCTTTCCCCATTCACCCCACCGTTTAATCCTAGAGTTGTCCTCCTAGAATCACAAAGAATGAATCTCATGCCTCTTGGAAATGGTATCCTTCTGATATTTGAAGAATCCAGTCATATCCTTAGAATGGCTCACAGCATCCCAAACTTCCACCTTCACCTAGAAATGCGTTTTTGTTTTTTTCTTATCTCAAGGTCTAATTTATTTTAAACTAGTCTTGAGCTCATTTAAACAGCCCCCAATTTCCTCCTCTGTTGTTTGAACACCTCGCAGTTTGAAGAGCATTTTCTTCACTGAAGTCAACAAATACAAAGTCAGTGAAATAAACCCTATATCCTCTCTGCAAGCTCTTAGTATCACATCGGATATTCAAGCCATGCAGCTCTTCCTTCCTTCTTACTCTTCGTCTAAACAGGATCATGCCGTCTTCCCTGTGAGTTGTTTGGAAGATGAGCTTTCTACATTTTGGGGAGCAAAGGGAATGAGCAATTGCAAGCTAAAAAGGAATATAAAATGTACATAATCCTGGGTTTTGGGACGATGTGAGGAAATCAGCAATTTCAAACCCAGTTGGTGGGAGGATAAGTAGGAACCAACTTTGTAGAAGGTCAACTGGCACTGCCCCACAGTACAGTAGGACACAGTATTCAGTTCTTCCACGATTAGACCAGATTGGGCACATTCAGGGTGGTATGGCTGTAGATAAGTATCTAGTTCTTTTTATTACTTCTGAATCTGTAAGTATCATGTTTATTATATGTAATGTTGTATATTTGTGCTTTGTCTATATTAGTCCTGCCAGAGTTTTTGGTCTTACTATTTAATAAAGATGCTATACTGAGCCACGTGTGGTGACTCAAACTTGTAATCCCAGCACTTTGGGAGGACTAGGTGAGCAGATAGCTTGAGTACAGGAGTTCGAGACCAGCCTGTATAACATGGTGAAACCCTGTCTCTGCAAAAAAATACAAAAACCAAACGGGCATGGTGGCACACGCCTATAGTCCCAACTACTCGGGAGACTGAGACGTGGGAGGATTGCTTGAGCCAGAGAGGTTGAGGCTGCAGTGAGCCATGATCTGGCCACTGCACTTCAGTCTGGGCAGCAGAGCAAGACCCTGTCTCAAAAAAAATGCTATGCTATATGCTTTATTATATTAACATCCAATACCACAAAGGCAAATGCCTTCTATAGAGAGAGAACCAAATTAATAATGGTGAGATAACATAGTTAAATTCTCATTTAGCAGGAGAAATAAAAACATAGACTATAGGCTAGGCACAGTGGCTCATGCCTGTAATCCCAGTATATTGGGAGGCTGAGGTTTGCAGATCACTTGAGGTCAGGAGTTCGAGACCAGCCTTGCCAATATGGTGAAACTCCATCTCTACTAAAAATACAAAAGTTAGCCATGTGTGGTGCTGCATGCCTCTAATCCTAGCTACTCAGGAGGCTGAGGCTGGAAAATCGCTTAAACCTGGGAGGCGGGGTTTGCAGTGAGCCAAGATCATGCCACTGCATTCCAGCCTGGGGAACAGAGTGAAACTCTGTTCAAAAAAGAAAAAAAAAACTAGAAGTGGACTCTAATAATATATGGACACATTTAGTGAAATAAGGTTAACTGAGTAGAGCAGAACTCATAATATTTTACAACTGTAAGAACATGTCTGTACATTAGCAAATATTAGATGAGAATAATATTGTCAGTATTTACTTCTGGTATTTTGGAATTAAAAAAACTGTCAGCAAAATTTACAATAAAGTATAATTTTAAGAAACCAGGCTGGATGCGGTGGCTCACGCTTATAATCCCAGCACTTTGAAAGACCGAGGCAGGCAGATTGCTCGAGGCCAGGAGTTCAAGACTAACCTGCCCAACATGGCCAAACCCCATCTCTACTAAAAACATAAAAATAAACCAGACACAGTGGTGCATGCCTGTGATCCCAGCTGCTCAGGAGGTTGAGGTGGGAGGATTGCTGGACCTCGGAAGTGGATGCTGCAGTGAACTGTGATCATGCCACTGCACTCCAGCCTGGGTGACCGCAAGACTCTGTCCCAAGGTTTTGTTTTGGTTAACTTGCTGTCTCCTTTTCCAGGAATTCCTTGTGGGCTACCCCCAGCCATCGCCAATGGAGATTTCATTAGCACCAACAGAGAGTATTTTCACTACGGATCTGTGGTGACCTACCGCTGCAATCTTGGAAGCGGAAGGAAAAAGCTGTTTGAGCTCGTGGGTGAGCCCTCCATATACTGCACCAGCAAAGATGGCCAAGTGGGCATCTGGAGCGGCCCGGCCCCTCAGTGCATTATACCTAACAAATGTACGCCTCCAAATGTGGAAAATGGAATATTGGTGTCTGTCAACAGAAGCTTATTTTCCTTAAATGAAGTTGTGGAGTTTAGGTGTCAGCCTGGCTTTGTCATGAAAGGACCCCGCCGTGTGCAATGCCAGGCCCTGAACAAATGGGAGCCAGAGTTACCAAGCTGCTCCAGGGGTGAGTCTGACTGAGGCCTAGAAGGGCCCTGCAAATGACATGAGTTGCTGTTGGATCAGGTGATTGGTATTTGTTCAGGGGGAGGGATGTGTACTGAGCAGGGTCAGGGAGCAAATTTTCTAGATAGTGAAGGTGAAATTCAGAAGGTGTGTGTACATACACATGTGCTGAAATTGAGTACAAAGCTCAACCTGGGCAAGGAATATGATGTTTCTTTGGGGTTCTTATAAACAGATCTGTCAATTACTTTTGAGTATAATAATTGTTGATACAAAATGAGTGATTCCTCTGGCCAGGCACTATGATACAGGCTACATGTGAATTGTAATCCTTAAAACAAAGTTATTAGGTAGTTACCAGTTGTTCTATGTTTGTCTGTTTTGTTTTGCCTGAGATACTGTCTTGCTCTGTCACTCGGGTTGGGCTGCAGTGGTGCGATCATGGCTTACTTCAACCTCTGCCTCCCTGGGTCAAGCAATTCTCCTGCCTGAGTCTCCCACATAGCTAGGAGTATCGGTGCATGCCACCATGCCTGGTTAAGATTTTTATGTTTTTTTGTACAGATAGAGTCTCACCATGTTGGCCAAGCTGGTCTCAAACTCCTCAGCTCAAGCAATCCACCCATCTTGGCCTCCCGAAGTCCTGGGATTATAGGCATGAGCCACCACGCCAGGTCTTGATGTTTTACAGAGAATATGTGCCTTAGAGAGATCAGATAACTTTCTAAGATACTAACTTGCAGACAAAACTGGAATGCAAGCCCGCCTCACTCCAAGTCTTGGCTTTGCTAATCAGCATCCAGTCATGCAATCAAAACTTACTCTAGATACTTTCCAGGAGGGAGGGATTTCATGCAGGTTGTATTAGTCTGTTCTCACATTCCTGTAAAGAACTACTTGAGACTGGGTAATTTATAAAGAAAAGAGGTTTAATTGACTCAGAGTTCTGTAGGCTGTACGGGAGGCATGGCTAGGGACACCTCAGGAAAGTTACAATCATGGTGGAAGGCAAAGAGGAAGCACCTATATCTTCATATGGTTGGCAGGAGAGAGAGAGAGAGCAAGGTAGAGGTGCTACACACTTCTAAATAAGCAGATCTCGAGAGAACTCTATCACAGGACAGCACTAGGGTGATGGTGCTAAACCATTAGAAACCACCTCCATGATCCAGTCACCTCCCGCCAGGCTCCTCCTCCAACACTGGGGATTACAATTTGACATGAGATTTGGGTGGGGACACAGAGCCAAACCATATCACAGCTAATAGGTCACAAAGATGTTAGAAGGGCAGGAAAAGCAATAAGACGAAGGCAGAGTTACCAGAGATCAGGGAGCTACGGTGGCTGCCAGTCTACAGCACAGGAGCCTGTACTGACGCTGAAATGGCCAGCCCCTCCCACTGAGCAGGCAGCTCCCTGAAAGCTGCTAATGCTGCAGGAGCCACCACTGCTGCCAGAATGCAGCTGATATTGCTGGAGCCAAAGTCATTGGCATGGCTAGAATTCAAGCTGTAACTGCTCACTGAAGCCATCTGTACTGCCACTGCCTCCTCTAGAAGTAGAACAGATTCTGCTATCATCCTCCCTTTTAATTTGGTATATATGCCTCCAACTGGCAGAACCTAACCAGAGCCCAGTTATCAAGGAAGATGAATGATTGTAGTTTTTTGTTTTGTTTTGTTTTTTGGTATTTCATTGTAATTTATTTATTTATTTATTTATTTATTTATTTATTTATTATTATACTTTAAGTTCTAGGGTACATGTGCATAACGTGCAGGTTTCTTACGTATGTATACTTGTGCCATGTTGGTGTGCTGCACCCATCAACTCGTCAGCACCCATGAACTCGTCATTTACATCAGGTATATCTCCCAATGCAATCCCTCCGATCTCCCCCCTCCCCATGACAGGCCCCAATGTGTGATGTTCCCCTTCCTGAGTCCAAGTGATCTCATTGTTCAGTTCCCACCTATGAGTGAGAACACGCGGTGTTTGGTTTTCTGTTCTTGCGATAGCTTGCAGAGAATGATGGTTTCCAGCTGCATCCATGTCCCTACAAAGGAAACAAACTCATCCTTTTTTATGGCTGCATAGTAATCTATGGTGTATATGTGCTACATTTTCTTAATCCAGTCTGTCACTGATGGACATTTGGGTCCAAGTCTTTGCTATTGTGAATAGTGCCGCAATAAACATACATGTGCATGTGTCTTTATAGCAGCATGATTTATAATCCTTTGGGTATATACCCAGTAATGGGATGGCTAGGTCATTTGGAACTTCTAGTTCTAGATCCTTGAGGAATCGCCATACTTTTTTCCATAATGGTTGAACTAGTTTACAATCCCACCAACAGTGTAAAAGTGTTCCTATTTCTCCACATCCTCTCCAGCACCTGTTGTTTCCTGACTTTTTAATGATTGCCATTCTAACTGGTGTGAGATGGTATCTCATTGTGGTTTTGATTTGCATTTCTCTGATGGCCAGTGATGATGAGCATTTTTTCATGTGTCTGTTGGCTGTATGCATGTCTTCTTTTGAGAAATGTCTGTTCATATCCTTTGCCCACATTTTGATGGGGTTGTTTGTTTTTTTTCTTGTAAATTTGTCTGAGTTCTTTGTAGGTTCTGGATATTAGCCCTTTGTCAAATGGGTAGATTGCAAAAATTTTCTCCCATTCTGTAGGTTGCCTGTTCACTCTGATGGTAGTTTCTTTTGCTGTACAGAAGCTCTTTAGTTTAATTAGATCCCATTTGTCAATTTTGGCTTTTGTTGCCATTGCTTTTGGTGTTTTAGACATGAAGTCCTTGCTCATGCCTATGACCTGAATGGTATTACCTAGGTTTTCTTCTAGGGTTTTTATGGTATTAGGTCTTACATTCAAGTCTTTAATCCATCTTGAATTAATTTTTGTATAAGGAGTAAGGAAAGGATCCAGTTTCAGCTTTCTACTTATGGCTAGCCAATTTTCCCAGCACCATTTATTAAATAGGGAATCCTTTCCCCATTGCTTGTTTTTCTCAGGTTTGTCAAAGATCAGATGGCTGCAGATGTATGGTATTATTTCTGAGGACTCTGTTCTGTTCCATTGGTCTATATCTCTGTTTTGGTACTAGTACCATGCTGTTTTGGTTACCGTAGCCTTGTAGTATAGTTTGAAGTCAGGTAGCGTGATGCCTCCAGCTTTGTTCTTTTGACTTAGGATTGTCTTGGCAATGCGGGCTCTTTTTTGGTTCCATATGAACTTTAAAGCAGTTTTTTCCAATTCTGTGAAGAAACTCATTGGTAGCTTGATGGGGATGGCATTGAATCTATAAATTACCTTGGGCAGTATGGCCATTTTTATGATATTGATTCTTCCTATCCATGAGCATGGTATGTTCTTCCATTTGTTTGTGTCCTCTTTGATTTCACTGAGCAGTGGTTTGTAGTCCTCCTTGAAGAGGTCCTTTACATCCCTTGTAAGTTGGATTCCTAGGTATTTTATTCTCTTTGAAGCAATTGTGAATGGAAGTTCATTCATGATTTGGCTCTCTGTTTGTCTGTTACTGGTGTATAAGAATGCTTGTGATTTTTGCACATTAATTTTGTATCCTGAGACTTTGCTGAAGTTGCTTATCAGCTTAAGGAGATTTTGGGCTGAGACAATGGGGTTTTCTAAATATACAATCATGTCATCTGCAAACAGGGACAATTTGACTTCTTCTTTTCCAGCTGAATACCCTTTATTTCTTTCTCTTGCCTGATTGCCCTAGCCAGAACTTCCAACACTATGTTGAATAAGAGTGGTGAGAGAGGGCATCCCTGTCTTGTGCCGGTTTTCAAAGGGAATTTTTCCAGTTTTTGCCCATTCAGTATGATATTGGCTGTGGGTTTGTCATAAATAGCTCTTATTATTTTGAGATACGTTCCATCAATACCAAATTTATTGAGAGTTTTTAGCATGAAGGGCTGTTGAATTTTGTCAAAGGCCTTTTCTGCATCTATTGAAATAATCATGTGGTTTTTGTCTTTGGTTCTGTTTATATATTGTATTACGTTTATTGATTTGCATATGTTGAACCAGCCTTGCATCCCAGGGATGAAGCCCACTTGATCATGGTGGATAAGCTTTTTGATGTGCTGCTGGATCCGGTTTGCCAGTATTTTATTGAGGATTTTTGCATCGATGTTCATCAGGGATATTGGTCTAAAATTCTCTTTTTTTGTTGTGTCTCTGCCAGGCTTTGGTATCAGGATGATGTTGGCCTCATAAAATGAGTTAGGGAGGATTCCCTCTTTTTCTATTGATTGGAATGGTTTCAGAAGGAATGGTACCAGCTCCTCCTTGTACCTCTGGTAGAATTCAGCTGTGAATCCATCTGGTCCTGGACTTTTTTTGGTTGGTAGGCTATTAATTATTGCCTTGATTTCAGAGCCTGCTATTGGTCTATTCAGGAATTCAGCTTCTTCCTGGTTTAGTCTTGGGAGAGTGTAAGTGTCCAGGAAATTATCCATTTCTTCTAGATTTTCCAGTTTATTTGCATAGAGGTGTTTATAGTATTCTCTGATGGTAGTTTCTATTTCTGTGGGGTCGGTGGTGATATCCCCTTTATCATTTTTTATTGCATCTATTTAATTCTTCTCTCTTTTCTTCTTTATTAGTCTTGCTAGTGGTCTATCAATTTTGTTGATCTTTTCAAAAAACCAACTCCTGGATTCATTGATTTTTTTGGAGGGTTTTTTGTCTCTATCTCCTTCAGTTCTGCTCTGATCTTAGTTATTTCTTGTCTTCTGCTAGCTTTTGAATGTGTTTGCTCTTGCTTCTGTAGTTCTTTTAATTGTGATGTTAGAGTGTCAATTTTAGATCTTTCCAGCTTTCTCTTGTGGGCATTTAGTGCTATAAATTTCCCTCTACACACTGCTTTAAATGTGTCCCAGAGATTCTCGTATGTTGTATCTTTGTTCTCACTGGTTTCAAACAACATCTTTATTTCTGTCTTCATTTCGTTATGTACCCAGTAGTCATTCAGGAGCAGGTTATTCAGTTTCCATGTAGTTGAGCGGTTTTGATTGAGTTTCTTAGTCCTGAGTTCTAGTTTGATTGCACTGTGGTCTGAGAGACAGTTTGTTATAATTTCTGTTCTTGTACATTTGCTGAGGAGTGCTTTACTTCCAATTATGTGGTCAATTTTGGAATAAGTGTGATGTGGTGCTGAATAGAATGTATATTCTGTTGATTTGGGGTGGAGAGTTCTGTAGATGTCTATTAGGTCTGCTTGCTGCAGAGATGAGTTCAATTCCTGGATATCCTTGTTAACTTTCTGCCTCATTGATCTGTCTAATGTTGACAGTGGGGTGTTGAAGTCTCCCATTATTATTGTATGGGAGTCTAAGTCTCTTTGTAAGTCTCTAAGGACTTGCTTTATGAATCTGGGTGCTCCTGTATTGGGTGCATATATATTTAGGATAGTTAGCTCTTCCTGTTGAATTGATCTCTTTACCATTATGTAATGGCCTTCTTTGTCTCTTTTGATCTTTGATGGTTTAAAGTCTGTTTTATCAGAGACTAGTATTGCAACCCCTGCTTTCTTTTGTTCTCCATTTGCTTGGTAGATCTTCCTCCATCCCTTTATTTTGAGCCTATGTATGTTTCTGCATGTGAGATGGGTCTCCTGAATACAGCAAACTGATGGGTCTTGACTCTTTATCCAATTTGCCAGTCTGTCTTTTAATTGGAGCATTTAGTCCATTTACATTTAAGGTTAATATTGTTATGTGTGAACTTGATCCTGCCATTATGATATTAACTGGTTATTTTGCTCGTTAGTTGATGCAGTTTCTTCCTAGCCTCGATGGCCTTTACATTTTGGCATGTTTTTGCAATGGCAGGTTCCGGTTGTTCCTTTCCATGTTTATTGCTTCCTTCAGGGTCTCTTGTAAGGCAGGCCTAGTGGTGACAAAATCTCTCAGCATTTGCTTATCTGTAAAGGATTTTATTTCTCCTTCACTTATGAAACTTAGTTTGGCTGGATATGAAACTCTAGGCTTAAAATTATTTTCTTTAAGAATGTTGAATATTGGCCCCCACTCTCTTCTGGCTTGTAGAGTTTCTGCCAAAAGATCTGCTGTTAGTCTGATGGGCTTCCCTTTGTGGGTAACCCGACCTTTCTCTCTGGCTGCCCTTAAGATTTTTTCCTTCATTTCAACTTTAGTGAATCTGGCAATTATGTGTCTTGGAGTTGCTCTTCTCGAGGAGTATCTTTGTGGCGTTCTCTGTATTTCCTGAATTTGAATGTTGGCCTGCCCTACTAGGTTGGGGAAGTTCTCCTGGATGATATCTGAAGAGTGTTTTTCAACTTGGTTCCATTTTCCCCCTCACTTTCAGGCACCCCAATCAGACGTAGATTTGGTCTTTTTACATAATCCCATACTTCTTGCAGGCTTAGTTCATTTCTTTTTCTTCTTTTTTCTTAGGTTTCTCTTCTCGCTTCATTTCATTCATTTGATCCTCAATCGCTGATACTCTTTCTTCCAGTTGATCGAGTTGGTTACTGAAGCTTGTGCATTTGTCATGTATTTCTCATGTCATGGTTTTCATCTCTGTCAGTTCGTTTATGGCCTTCTCTGCATTAATTATTCTAGTTATCAATTCTTCCACTCTTTTTTCAAGACTTTTAGTTTCTTTGCGCTGGGTATGTAATTCCTCCTTTAGCTCTGAGAAGTTTGAGGGACTGGAGGCTTTTTCTCTCATCTCGTCAAAGTCATTCTCCGCCCAGCTTTGATCCATTGGTAGTGATGAGCTGCATTCCTTTGCAGGGGGAGATGCACTCTTATTTTTTGAATTTCCAGCTTTTCTGCCCTGCTTTTTCCCCATCTTTGTGGTTTTATCTGCCTCTGGTCTTTGATGATGGTGACGTACTAATGGGGTTTTGGTGTGGGTGTCCTTCCTGTTTGTTAGTTTTCTTTCTAACAGTCAGGACCCTCAGCTGTAGGTCTGTTGGAGATTGCTTGAGGTCCACTCTAGACCCTGTTTGCCTGGGTATCAGCAGCAGAGGCTGCAGAAGACAGAATATTGCTGAACAGCAAGTGTACCTGTCTGATTCTTGCTTTGGAAGCTTCCTCTCAGGGGTGTACTCCACCGTGTGAGGTGTGGGGTGTCGGTCTGCCCCTAGTGGGGGATGTCTCCCAGTTAGGCTACTCAGGGGTTAGGGACCCACTTGAGTAGGCAGTCTGTCCGTTCTCAGATCTCAGCGTCCCTGTTGGGAGATCCACTGCTCTCTTCAAAGCTGTCAGACAGAGTCGTTTGCGTCTGCGGAGGTTTCAGCTGCTTTGTTTTTATTGTTGTTGTTGTTGTTGTTGCTGTTGTTGTTGTTTAGCTGTGCTCTGTCCCCAGAGGTGGAGTCTACAGAGACAGGCAGGACTCCTTGAGCTGCTGTGAGCTCCACCCAGTTCAAGCTTCCCAGCGGCTTTGTGTACCTACTTAAGCCTCAGCAATGGCGGGTGCCCCTCCCCCAGCCTCGCTGCTGCCTTGCCGGTAGATCACAGACTGCTGTGCTAGCAATGAGGGAGGCTCCGTGGGCGTGGGACCCTCCCGGCCAGGTGAGGGATATAATCTCCTGGTGTGCCCGTTTGCTAAGATCCTTGGTAAAGTGTGGTATTGGGATGGGAGTTACCCGATTTTCCAGGTGTTGTGTGTCTCAGTTCCACTGGCTAGGAAAAGGGATTCCCTTCCCCCTTGCGCTTCCCAGGTGAGGCGATGCCTCGCCCTGCTTCAGCTCTCGCTGCAGGGGCGGCAGCAGCTGACCAGCACCGATTGTCCTGCACTCCCTAGTGAGATGAACCCAGTACCTCAGTTGAAAATGCAGAAATCACCTGTCTTCTGTGTCACTCGCACTGGGAGTTGGAGACTGGAGCTGTTCCTATTCGGCCGTGTTCATCAGTTCATTCACGATTGTAGTTTTAAGGCTTCCATTGCTAGCAGTCGAAAGACAGTGCAGAAGTGTGAGGCTGGGGACCAACAGAAATTTAACCAGCACAGCACCTCAATATTACATCACCAAGCATTGATTAGTCAAGGGAAACACTGTGTGATGAGTCCTGAAAATGGACATTACAGCATCAGAGTATTTACATACTCTTTAAAAAAGTTGTTTTTCTAGTCCAATCCCCCAGATGCTTGAGAAAGCTGAAGTCCAGAAAAGGGAACTGGTCTGCTCAAAGCCAAACTGAAATTATTTTTTCCATTTTATAACAGTTTTATGTAATTTAGTTGAGACACAAATGTGCTCTGACTTCCCAAGATCAGATCAACTATATTAAGAGAGAGCCAGTGCTACTATTACAATATGTTGCCTGAAATATACACTCTCATTATGGTGACAGTAGGTCTTTTAGATTTTGTTCAACAGTTGCCCACCTTCTCACCATAGTGAAATGAATGACTGGACAGCACCTTGCTTCGTAGCGTGAAGAGAGGCCCATAGTTCATTACCACCTTATGTCAGGTGGCCGCTGAGAGAAGCCTTGACAGGAGATGAGAGTAGATATATGGACGCTGTTTGTTGCACTGGTGTGATAGGTGACAGAGGGACCTATTAGACAAGACATGGGCAGGGGCACTCCTTTATTGCCTAAAATGCAAGACTAAATTGGTGATGCGTTTCTAGAAAGGAAGTATGAAGATATAAAAAGCCATCATTCCTCCCAATTTTGTACTGGGTGAACAGTAATTGGAAGCATTCTACAAGGAACTGTCCATTGTGAAATCTTAGTTGCATGCTTTAGATGAAAAGCAATGAATTGAGGATACCTCTGTTTTAGTCACAGTTCTGCAATGTGTCAGTTCTATGACTGATGGCAAGACATCTTCCTTGCCCTGTGTATTTAGTTTGTTATCAATATAATAAAGCTCTTATCTTAACTTTATTATTATATATAGATTTGTAATGATTATTCCCTTGGCCAGTTTAACATTGAGAAAATTAGCAATACTTTGTTTCTCTCTCCCCAGTATGTCAGTCACCTCCAGATGTCCTGCATGGTGAGCGTACCCAAAGGGACAAGGACATCTTTCAGCCTGGGCAGGAAGTGTTCTACATCTGTGAGCCCGGCTATGACCTCAGAGGGGCTGCGTCTCTGCGCTGTACACCCCAGGGAGACTGGAGCCCTGCAGCCCCCAGATGTGAAGGTGCCTAGACTCTTGTCTGGCTTGATATTTTTAGCTTGCGTCTTTATTCTCCACATGCCAATATTTTCTGTTCATTTTTCTTTTACTCCAGTGAAATCCTGTGATGACTCCCTGGGCCAACTTCCTAATGGTCGTGTGCTATTTCCACGTAGTCTCCAGCTTGGAGCAAAAGTGGATTTTGTTTGTGATGAAGGGTGAGTGTGAGCTTGCCTGACCTACTGGACATTGAAAATGGGGCTGGGAATTAGTTTAAAAAGGGGAGATTTGGTTTGGCTTAAAAGAAAGACACACACACACACACACACACACACACATTCAGAGAGATGAACTTTCCAAAGTATACATAGGAAGAAAGGAAAGAAATGCACAGAACTAATAACATGAGATATGAAGAGGAAACTGGAACATATATTAACTGGCAAGTTCAAAGGCAAGTATAACTACTGGTTATGAATATATGGGTAACACATTAAGTAGAAAATATCAGCCAGGCACGGTGGCTCATGCCTGTAATCCCAGCACCTTTGGGAGGTTGATCTGAGGCGAGCAGATCACCTGAAGACAGGAGTTGGAGACCAGCCTGGCCAACATGGTGAACCTCGTCTCTACTAAAAATACAAAAGGTAACTGGGCTTGGTGGCATGTGCCTGTAATCCCAGCTACTGAGGCACGAGAATCACTTGAACCTGGGAGGCGGAGTTTGCAGTGAGCCGAGATGGCACCATTGCAATCCAGTGTGGACAACAAGAGTGAAACTCCGTCTCAAGAAAAATAAATCATGTTTTACAGGCAAAAAAGAACATGAGTAATTTAGAGAGTCCCAGAAAAAAACTGCAAGTAACAAAAAGCTAATTCTTAATAACTGGGATCATTTAAGAATCATTTCAGTAAATTCTTTAAACCATCTATAGTGAAATTTGTAATAGGAATGAAAATGTAAAAATCAACATTTTTAAAAAATTCAGTCACATATAATCTGGCTATTCATGGGCTCTGGGCTCTGAGCTGGGGTCCTGATGGCTGCTGCTATTTCCGGCAAGGTCATTACCTTGTTTATGTCCATCTAGTGCTCTTCACAGATGCACAGGGTGCACATCTCTACACGGGAGCTGACCAGCATGGGCAACAAAGCACCTGATCCCAAAATGTTCCACAGAATCTTGGCAGCCTCCAAATGCCAGCACCCAGTAAGAGTTAGAAGGGCATCAGGGCCCAACAGAAACTGAGAATTTTCAACGATTGCATACAGAAATCCAGTCCTCTCTTCTTTCCTTTTTCCCCTAGAATATTCACGCTTACTCTTCAGCAGCCCAAACTGCCCTTGTGAGCCTTCTTCACGCCATCACAGATGTAGAGATGAAAGGACACTCTCTGTTCTCTCACCAACTATTTCCCACTTTTCCAAACTGGGAGCTGTTTTACAAACTGGGAGCTGTTTTACTTGCTGTTCCAGCATCAGAGTTAGGAAGGCATTGCATTAGAAGACTGGGTTTCTAATAATGACAATGAGTGTTTATCAGGTTATCATGGAGTAATCAGTGAAACTCCAAGCCTGGGTCCTGGGTCAAGGAGATGGTTCCCATGTCATGACCACCTTTTTCAATTCAAGCAGGACTGTCATGTGACCAAGTTACTGCATTTTGCCATTCTATATTGCTCCCTTCTGGAGACTGTGAGCTTCCAGAATAACGTAGCCTGTGCAACTCTGCCACCTGCTGGCCTCAGGTCCTCAAAATCCTGAGATTTGGGGCTGGGCCTTAGATTGTGAACCAAGAGTCCTCTTGGCTGAAGCAGCTCACTATTCACTCCTATTTTCTCCTTTAGATTTCAATTAAAAGGCAGCTCTGCTAGTTACTGTGTCTTGGCTGGAATGGAAAGCCTTTGGAATAGCAGTGTTCCAGTGTGTGAACGTGAGTAATAGGAGTAACATTTCAGGCCAGTCTCTCCCCTTCATCTGTTCAGTATTTGACCCATGACCTCCCCTAATGTGGTTCTTCAATTTTCTAGTCCGAATTATTGATTTGAAAATTGCTTATTTTAATAATGTTTGGTTGTGAATCAATGTGTACATCACCTGTCTTTGGAATCATCTGATCTGTCTCTGTCCTTCTATATTCTGTGTTCTACCGCAATAAAGCCTACGGTAGTGTGCTTCTAGGAGTTTCAGGAGAGATCAGATAATGTGAAGCTTTAACAATTTACTTTGTTTCTCTCTTTTCTTTCTTTTTTTCTCTTCCTTTCTTCCTCCCTTCTTTCTTTTTCATTTTGTACTTCCATCAGGTGCAGTCAGTCTACAATTTTTGTATGTATTTGATAATACACAAATATTAAACATGCCTTTATTTAATAATATTTATTGATCACGTACTTTGTGCCTGATGTTCATCTAGCCACTGGAGTTTTATCAATGAACAAGACGAATGAATTCCCTGTCCCCGTGTTGTTTCTCCTCAGGTGGGGAGAGGGACAAGAAAAAAAATAAATTCAATGCTATGAAGATAATAGAGCAAAGCACTGAGGAATGAGGGAAAAGTGGGATGCAACATTAGACAGGGCGAGACTCCTTTAGACAGTTGGAGACTCCTTAAATTCTCAAAACATGTACCTAAGTCATTTATGCTGAGAGATTCATAAATAATAAGTTCATTTTTGAAAAAAAGAGCCCCATATGTTCAATAATCAGTAGACTACTGATTTCTCCGAGTCTAACTATTTGTAATTTCCCCAATGGTAGATAGAACTTTGCTTCATTTCTTGATTCTAACAATTGGAAAACATGTTTCTTTAGAAGACCATGAAATTTTACTAAAATGTTTATGTTCTTAGAAATATACTTGGACATCTTACAGTGCTTTTTAGAGGAGAATTTTGTAAGAACAAAACTTATATAGAGATTCTTGCTGTCTAAGTAATCCAGTGCTCCTTGAAGCAGCATGACAAATGTCTGTTCTACTATTATGCATTAAAACTCATTGACTGACTACTCAAGATTTCTCTTATTTTTCATAACTCTTGCTAGTTAAAGTAGCTTCTTCCAAATTCCAGTTCTAACGAAAAACGCCAATTAGAAATGAGGGAGAGACTGTTCTAAACAAATCAGCAGATGCTAGAAAGGAGTAACAACTTGAAACCTGACCCAGAACGTAAAAAGAGAAAATTAATCATCAACAGACACAGACATTTTCAAAAGCAAAGCAATCTGAATCCATTTGGAGTTTTTTATAATGGCCTGACTACGTTTCAATTCACTGTGACAGGGCTATTGTTATCACAGAGATTGATGATCAGTATCAATAAGTAATCAGTGGAAGGTTTCACCTATTTAAGATGATTAGCACACATATATGCATTTGAGAAATATTTCCCAAGAATGTAGGCTCCTTCCTCAGCACTGCATCCCCAGGATCCTGATGAGTGGCTGACACAGGACAAGTGCTCAATTAATAAATATTGACTAAATGAATGAGTAACCCATCAAAATGGTTATTTTTCTTCTTCAAATGTTTTGCTACTTCATTAAAGTTGTAACGTTTCTATTGTCCAGGAACCGTTACTATCTGGAAGATTCAGGATAGAAAAATCTCTTTTGTACTTTGCAATACACTTTCAATGACATCTCATTTAATCCAACTCTTCGAAGTCCTAATGTCTACTGTCACCTCATTAGCATATTTTCAGCAACAACAATCATAGCACCCTTTAATTGCAGAATACCTCTGGGGAAACTCCTGAATGAAACTTAGGGCTTTTGTCTTTTTTCCAGAAATCTTTTGTCCAAGTCCTCCAGTTATTCCTAATGGGAGACACACAGGAAAACCTCTGGAAGTCTTTCCCTTTGGAAAAGCTGTAACTTACACATGTGACCCCCACCCAGACAGAGGGATGACCTTCGACCTCATTGGGGAGAGCACCATCCGCTGCACAAGTGACCCTCAAGGGAATGGGGTTTGGAGCAGCCCCGCCCCTCGCTGTGGAATTCTGGGTTAGTGCTCATTTCCCCACATCCCAAATGGGTTCAGAATATCTAACACAGGCCCTCCATATTTCCATTATTACAGTATGGTTTCTCTGTGTGCATTTGCCACAATGGAATGCCCAACCAATGATAAATGGTTCTAAGATAGATCAACATATGAGATCCTGATGACCTTTGCAGCTGGAGGGACTGATGAAAAAACAGGGAGGTGATGAGTGGTGGGAAAATCCTTCATTAGAATCATATGAATTAAAAACAAATGCCGTGAATCTCCTTATTGCAACGGCTAGCTGAGAAATCTGACCTAGAAAATCAGTGTCTCTTCCTACCAGGAAATGTCTTGAGTTCCTGCCCATGCTTTTCAGCCTCTCATTGGAGTTTTGATGCCCTGAAATACAAGGAAACCAGACAAGAAAGGTGGAAGCTGGGCAGAAACACTCTTTTTGGCTTCCTAAAAATGTGAAAAATTAAATCAGAGCTATATTTACATTAAATTAGATGAGCATTAGCTGAGCGTGGTGGCAATTGCCTGTGTTCCCAGCTATTCGGGAGGCTGAGATGGGAGGATCACTTAAGCCTGGGAGGCAGAGGTTGCCGTGAGCTGAGACTGTGCCACTGCACTCCAGCCTGGGTGACAGAGTGAGACCCTATCTCAAAAACAATGAAAATAGGCTGGCCACAGTGGCTCACACCTGTAATCTCAGCACTTTGGGAGGCCAAGGCGGGTGGATCACTAGAGGTCAGGAGTTCCAGACCAGCCTGCAAACAGGATGAACCTCCAACTCTACTAAAAATAGAAAAAAAAAAGTAAAAATTAAAATATATAAATTATATGAGTAGAAAGACCCGATAACAGTTAGTCTCCCAGATAATATACTTCCTTATAAGCCTATGCTAATGGAACTTTCCCTTCTATTTTACAGGGAAGTTTCTTGTTGTTGTTGTTTTTGTTTTTGTTTTTTCAAAACTAAAAGTTTCTTTTCTTCTGGCATCAAATCTACCAAGGAAGAGAAAAGAGGAAACATATTGGGTATCTTTTTATTAACTCAGATATTCTTGATTTCTTGGTCTCTAGGTCACTGTAATGCCCCGGATCATTTTCTGTTTGCTAAGTTGAAAACCCAAACCAATGCATCTGACTTTCCCATTGGGACATCTTTAAAGTACGAATGCCGTCCTGAGTACTACGGGAGGCCGTTCTCTATCACATGTCTGGATAACCTGGTGTGGTCGAGTCCCAAAGATGTCTGTAAACGTGAGTAAACTTGCATTGGATCTTTCCCATGTCTGCAAAAGCTTCTTATTGAATGTTTTCAAATGTGGGATATGAGAAACCTTTTTTGAAAAGTGTTCAGATAGGTGGATGTAAGAGCTTTTCTTGTAGGTCATCCTTGATTATTGCTTGAAATGCTCACTTCAAGAGACTGTTTCAAGAAACAGTTGTAGAGAAAACTTTCATTCCCTATGGGAAGAAAAATAATAAGTGACTAGATCAGGGGGGAAAAAAATGGTGTAAGAAGACAAATTCTGTTTGAATAACAAGGTGGGAAGAAATCCTTTGCAAACTTTGAAATATATTGGTAGTAACTAATGCAATAAGTGACTTTTACATTCTGATAAGGGATGCAAGGTCTCTACACAGATCTAAATCTAGATCTAGATAGATCTGGAGGGAAGGTCTTTTTCAAAGTGGGGCTTAGTAGGTGGCTGATCCTGAGGGGCTCTGATTAGTTTTCTCAAGGTGGCAAAATCTGTGGAACCATCAGAACTGCGTATTTTCTTCAGCAAGCTACATGTTGATGGAGACCTTACTTACTGAAGAGAGTCCTGATTACTCTACCTGGCTCCAAAACACTTTCTTTCCCATAGGTAAATCATGTAAAACTCCTCCAGATCCAGTGAATGGCATGGTGCACGTGATCACAGACATCCAGGTTGGATCCAGAATCAACTATTCTTGTACTACAGGGTGAGTTGGCAGCAACATCTCTTGGTTTAAAAGTCCAGCACAGCAATACTACCTTCTAGCCACATCTCAGGTTGGAAACTAGGCTACTGCCACCTGCTCTTAAGAGGTTTGAACACAGGTGTTAACTCCTGATTGAAATGAACAACGATAGGAGAAGATTAGGGGAATATCTGTATCCTTGCTGGAAACCAGGGCAATGCACATATAAAGAGTATGCTGTTCACCGGATGGGAAGGAAAAATAATTAGAAGTATAGTAGTCAAAGCCCACAAACTACCCTAATCCAGAGTAGACATTGCTGGAAGAAAGGGAAGGGCATGTAGTGGCTGTGTGAGAGAACAAATCTTAATGATAACAGCATGATCACTTGCTTGGGCTGCCCTCAGAAAGTACAGTCCTTCCTCATTTTAATGTACTTTGCAGATGTTATGCTTTTTATAAATTGAAGGCTTGTGGCAACGCTACGATAAGTATGTCAGTCACATCATTTATCCAACAGCGTGTGTTCACTTTGTGTCTCTGTGTAGCATTTTGATTATTCTCACAATATCCCAGATGTTTTCATTATTATCATGTCTGTGATAGTATGTGTCATCAGTGATCTTTCATGTGACTATTGTCATTGTTTGGGGTCCCTACAAACGGCACCCATATGAGACAGAAAACTTAATCAATAAATGTGCGTGCTTTTACTGCTCCATGGACTAGACATTCTCCTTCTCTCTCCCTCTCTTCAGGACTCCCTAATCCCTGAGACACAATAATACTACAATTAGGCCACTTAATAGCCCTACACTGGCCTTTAAGTGTTGACATGAAGGGAGGAGTCATGCATCTCTTACTTGAAGTCAAAAGCTAGGGATTATTAAGCTTACTGAGGACGATATGTTGAAAACCAAGATAGGCCAAAGCCATTCATCGTGTGCCAAACAGCTAGAGAGTTGTAAAGGCAAATCAAAAGTACTTGAAGGAAATATAAAGTGCTATTGCAGTGAACACATGAATAACAAAATGTGAAACAGCCTTATTGCTGATAGGGAAGAAGTTTTAATGCTCTAGATACAAGATCAAACTAGAAACGTTTCCTGAAGCCAAAGCCTAATCCTGAGCAAGGCCCTAACTCTTCAGTTCTGTGAAGGCTGCCAGAGGTGAGGAAGCTGCAGAATAAAAGCTGGAAGCTAGCAGAATTTGGTCCCTGAGGTTTAAGGAAAGAAGCCCTCTCCATAACATAAAGATCCAAGGTGAAGCAGCAAGTGCTCATGTAGAAGCTGCAGCAAGTTATCTAGAAGATCTAGCTAAGATCATGGATGAAGGTGTTACACTAAATAACAGATTTTCCATGTAGACAAAACAGCCATCTGTTGGACTTCCATAGTTAGAGAGGAGAAGCCAATGCCTGGGTTCAAAGCTTCAAAGGATAGGCTGATTTTTAGGAGCTAATGCCGCTGGTGACTTCGAGTTGAAGCCAATGCTCACTGACCATTCTAAAAACCCTCGGGCCCTTAAGAATTATGCTAAATGTACTTTGCCTGTGTCTATAAATGGAACAACAAAGCCTGACGACAGAAATATGTTTGCAGCATGGTTTACTGAATATTTTAAGTCCACTGTTGAGATCTAGTGCTCAGAAAAATAGATTTCTTTCAAAATATTACTGCTTATTGACATTATACCTAAACAACCAAGAGCTGTAATGGAGATGGACACAGAGATGAATGGAGTGTTCCTACCTGCTGACCACAGCAGCCATTCTGCAGACCATGGCTGAAGGAGTAATTTTGACTTTCAAGTTTCATTATTTAAGAAATACATTTTGTAAGGCCAGTTCCCAGACAGTAATTCCTCTGATGGATCTGAACAAAGTAAGTTGAAAACTGCTGGAAAGAATTCATCATTATACATATCATTAAGAACATTCATGATTCATGGGAAGAGGTTAAAATATCAACATTAACAAGAGTTTGATAGAAGTTAATTCCAACCCTCATGGCTGACTTTGAGAGGTTCAAGACTTCAGTGGAGGAAATAACTGCAGATGTGGTAGAAATAGCAAGAGAACTACAGTTAGAAGTGGAGCCTGAAGATGTGACTGAATTGCTACAATCTTATGATCAAACTTGAACAGATGAGGAGTTGCTTCTTGTGAAAGGGCAGAGAAAGTGATTTTTTTGAGGTGGAGTCTCTTCCTGGTGAAGATGACATTAGCATTGTGACAATGACCACAAAGGATTTAGAATATTACATAAACTTAGTTGACAAAGCAGCAGCAGTATCTGGGAGGATTGACTCCAATTTTGAAAGCAGTTCAGAGGGTAAAATGTTATCAAATAGCATTGCATGCTAGAAAAATCTTTTGTGAAAGAGTCAATCAATACAGCAATTTTATTGTTGTCTCAGCTTAAGAAATAGCCACAGCCACCCCAGCCTTCAGCAACCACCGCCCTGAGCAGTCAGCAGCCATCAATCTTGAGGCAAGACCCTCCACCAGCAAAAAGATTACGACTGATTGAAGGTCAGATAATCTTTAGCATTTTTTATCAATAAACCATTTTTTAAAGTATGACTTTTTTCAGATATAATTCTATTTCACACTTAATAGACTGCCGTATAGTACAAACACAACTTTTAGACTCACTGAGAAATCAAAAAATTCATATGACTCATCTGTTGTGATATTTGTTTTATTGTGGTGTTCTGGAACTGAACCTGCAATATCCTTGAGGAATGTCTGTAACACAAAATGGGCGGCTTAATACAACAGAAGTTTTTGGAGTTCTGTTCTAGAGGATAGGAGTCCAAAATCGAGGTGTTGGCAGGGCCATGCTCCCTCTGAATCCTGTAGGGTAGAATCCTTCATTGCGTCTTCCAGCTTCTGGAGCCCCAGGCTTTCCTTGGCGTGTGGCAGTGGAACTCCAATTTGTTCTGTCCCGGTCCTCGCATGGCCATCTTCCCTCTGGGTCTGTGTCCTCATATGCTGTTCTCCTCTCTGTGCATGTTTCTGTTCAAAGTTTTCCCTTTTTATGACACCTGTCACATTGGATTAGGGCCTACCTTAATGACCTCATCTTAACTTGATTGCATCTGCAAAGACTGTATTTCCAAATAAGATCAAATCCACAGAGACTGGGGGTTAAGACTTCAACATATCTGGGGGAGTCACTTCAACCTACAACAGAGCCCCTTTGAAAATGTCAAGCGTCAGGTGCTCACAGCGCACGGCCCAGCTGTTGGTGCTCAGCCTTGCTCAGCACACAGTGGAGGCTCTGCCTCAATGTCACTCTTCACTGGAACAGCTAAGCCAGGTAGTGAATAAGGGCTACATTTGTGCCACCGCAACCAATACTGAAAGGAGAATTGTGGTGTCCAGCACATATGCCAGCCTAGACCTCACAGACCATAGCACATAGAATCTGACAAAGTAAAATTAGAATAAATCCAATATCTCCTTTACTTTTTTTTTTTTTGAGCGTTTTTAAATACAATTGATAAGTTTCCTGACTGTACCCTCCTCATCTTGCATTGCTGAATAAGGGGGGAACCTCTCTAAGGCATACAGCAGAAAACCATTGAGCTTATGACTAGAAACAGGAAATACATGTAAAAGAGACCAGTCTGAAAAATCAGGAGAAATTTTACAAAAGAGATTTACTGCCAAGAAACCAGGCAAACTTTCAGAACACTCTCCTTTTCATATTGGTAACAAGATTCAATTGTACAAATACTTCTGTGAAACTAGCCATGAAGTTTGTATGTGAATGAATATATGTATTCCATGGGTTTGTATATTTCATTTCATACATGTGATATATATATACATAAATATATATATATATATATATCTCACAATGAATATTGCAGAAAATTAAAGCAAAGAGTAAGAGGAGTTAACCAAATTTTCCCTGAATGCAGCGGGGAAAGCTGAAAAGGAGAAGACAGGCAGGCACAGTGGCTCACACCTGTAATCCCAACACATTGAGAGGCTGAGACAAGAGAACCACTTGAGCCCAGGAGCTCGAGACCAGCCTGGGCAACATGGCAAAACCCCATCTCTACAAAAAAGTATAAAAATTAGCTGGGCGTGGTGGTGTGTGCCTGTAGTCACAACTAGGGAGGAGACTGAGGTGGGAGGATCACCTGAGGCCAGGAGGCTGAGGCTTCAGTGAGCCATGATGGCACCCCTGCACTCCAGCCTGGATGACAGAATGAGATCCTGTCTCCAAAAAGGAAAGACATATGTAACACAGTGTCAGGATTCAAAATACATGTAACAAAAATTCTAGAAGGGTAAACATATAAGCCCATACCTAGCCATCACTAGGGAAACTTCTGTGTTTCAGGGATAGAGAAAAAAACTCAGATTCCAGAAATAAAATGTGAAAATATAATACCCGCAAAAGAAGTAAATTTATTGGCACCACATTGATTCTATACAACACGAAATGGTATAAGGTAGCATTTCTATTGCACCAAGCTAATATTCACACCTAGAGGCTCCAGACACACATTAAAGGATAAGCAAAGACACAAAAATTGTACCATTTAAGTATGCTTCCCAGGCAATTCATGAGCAAATTTTTAAAAAGGAGAATGATGAATTCCAAAAGAAATTTCAATAAGATAGGATATGGGTAAAAAGAAAAAACAACAATAAAAAAAAAGTACACATAAAAATTTGGCAATGTAATCATAATTTATTAATAATCTCTCTAAACTCATAGAACATATCAATAAAACCAGAAAATGTGAGACAGTAACAAAAGGTAGGCTAGACTTACATTACAGAAAAGATAAGTAGACTGACTATATAGAGTTTCAGTCTAAAATTGAAAAAATAGATTTAAATATCTGTTGTGTGCATATTTATAATATACATGCACACGTATAAAATGAAATTCCTCATTGGAAAACATATGAAGTTTAATTTCCAAATTATTAGAATGACTAAAACAGCTGAATTTATCTCTTCCATATAGCAAGTGAGAGGGAAGGAAAAGGCAAGGAATGCATTTATCTCCTCCACCAGAAATAAGCCCCCTCATGTTTGGGTCAGGTCATTTTATTCATTGCTTTCTCCACATCCTCAGCATTGGGCATCATGAAATCAGTGAAAAAGGCAGTGAAAGAATGATGATGAAAGCAAATCAAATGTATCATTTATCTCAATACATGTGGTTTAATCTTCTTGTTGAAAGACAAAGTCTCCTAGACAAGATCAACAGCAACAAATCTTGTATTTATAAAAAACATGTCTCAAGTAAGATGACATAGTATTATGCACACACACACACACAAATTACGGGAAAATGCAAACAAAAAATGGCAGAAATAGTATTTAAAGAAAATAGAATTTATGAAAAAAATTGTCAAACAGGTCTACAAAATAATTGTTTTATTTTGGTGCCAGGTACAGTCCACAATGAAGCCAACATATTAAGAAGCAAAGTGGGCCAGGAGAAGTTAGAGCAAAAATATCTCTTTCAATGAGAGAATAGGAAAAAGAACTAGAAAAGCTGGGAACAACAGGTAAAGTTTAGGCTAGGCCTTAGACTTCTCCTACATTGTAATCCTTCTGGTTTGCCATATATGCATGCTGTGAGGACGTTGATGAGGCATGTACAGCACAATTATTTTCCACTGTTTGCCTTTAGGCACCGACTCATTGGTCACTCATCTGCTGAATGTGTCATCTCAGGCAATACAGCCCATTGGAGCACGAAGCCACCAATTTGTCAGCGTGAGTTGAAGTCTCTTTCCCCATTCACCCCACCTTTTAATCCTAGAGTTATCCTCCTAGAATCACAAAGAATGAATCTCATGCCTCTTGGAAATGGTATCCTTCTGATATTTGAAGAATCCAGTCATATCCTTAGAATGGCTCACAGCATCCCAAACTTCCACCTTCACCTAGAAATGCGTTTTTGTTTTTTTCTTATCTCAAGGTCTAATTTATTTTAAACTAGTCTTGAGCTCATTTAAACAGCCCCCAATTTCCTCCTCTGTTGGTTGAACACCCGCAGTTTGAAGAGCATTTTCTTCACTGAAGTCAACAAATACAAAGTCAGTGAAATAAACCCTATATCCTCTCTGCAAGCTCTTAGTATCACATTGGATATTCAAGCCATGTAGCTCTTTCTTCCTTCTTATTCTTTGTCTAAACAGGATCATGCCGTCTTCCCTGTGAGTTGTTTGGAAGATGAGCTTTCTACATTTTGGGGAGCAAAGGGAATGAGCAATTGCAAGCTAAAAAGGAATATAAAATGTGTATAATCCTGCATTTGGTGATGGTGTGAGGAAATCAGCAATTTCAAACCCAGTTGGTGGGAAGATAAGTAGGAACCAACTTTATAGAAGGTCAACATACTGGCTGGGCACTGCCCCACAATACAGTAGGACACAGTATTCAGTTCTTCCACGATCAGACGAGATTGGGCGCATTCAGGGTGGTATGGCTGTAGATCAGTATCCAGTTATTTTTATTACTTCTGAATCTGTAAGTATCTTGTTTATTCTATGTAATATTATATATTTGTGCTTTGTCTTTATTAGTTCTACCAGAGTTTTTTGTCTTATTATTTAATAAAGATGCTATACTGAGCCACGTGTGGTGACTCAAACTTGTAATCCCAGCACTTTGGGAGGACTAGGTGAGCAGATAGCTTGAGTACAGGAGTTCGAGACCAGCTTGTACAACATGGTGAAACCCTGTCTCTCCAAAAAATACAAAACTCAAACGGGCATGGTAGCACACGCCTATAGTCCCAACTACTCGGGAGACTGAGAGGTGGGAGGATTGCTTGAGCCAGAGAGGTTGAGGCTGCAACGAGCCATCATCGGGCCACTGCACTTCAGCCTGGGCAGCAGAGCAAGACCCTGTCTCAAAAAAAGTGCTATGCTATATGCTTTATTATATTAATATCCAATACCACAAAGGCAAGTGCCTTCTATAGAGAGAGAACTAAATTAATAATGGTGAGATAACATAGTTAAATTCTCATTTAGCAGGAGAAATAAAAACATAGACTATAGGCTAGGCGCAGTGGCTCATGCCTGTAATCCCAGTACATTGGGAGGCTGAGGCGGGCAGATCACTTGAGGTCAGGAGCTCGAGACCAGCCTGGTCAATATGGTGAAACTCCATCTCTACTAAAAATCCAAAAGTTAGCCATGTGTGGTGCTGCATGCCTCTAATCCCAGCTACTCAGGAAGCTGAGGCAGGAAACTCGCTTCAACTTGGGAGATGGGGGTTGCAGTGAGCCAAGATCATGCTACTGCACTCCAGCCTGGGGAACAGAGTGAGACTCTGTTCAAAAAAAAAAAAACAAGAAAAAAAAAGTGGGCTCTAATAATATGTAGACACATTTAGTGAAATAAGGCTAACTGAGTAGAACAGAACTCATAATATTTTACAACTGTAAGAACATGTCTGTACATTAGCAAATATTAGATGAGAATAATATTGTCAATATTTACTTCTGGTAATTTGGAATTTAAAAAAAACTGTTAGCAAAATTTACTATAAAGTGTAATTATTAGAAACCAGGCTGGATGCAGTGGCTTACGCTTATAATCCCAGCACTTTGAAAGTCCAAGGCAAGCAGATTGTTTGAGGCCAGGAGTTCAAGACTAACCTGCCCAACATGGCCAAATCCCATCTCTACTAAAAATAGAAAAATAAACCAGACACAGTGGTGCATGCCTGTGATCCCAGCTACTCGGGAGGTTGAGGTGGGAGGATTGCTGGACCTCGGAAGTGGAGGCTGCAGTGATCCGAGATGGTGCACTGCACTCCAGCCTGGGTGACCGCAAGACTCTGTCCCAAGGTTTTGTTTTGGTTAACTTGCTGTCTCCTTTTCCAGGAATTCCTTGTGGGCTACCCCCAGCCATCGCCAATGGAGATTTCATTAGCACCAACAGAGAGTATTTTCACTACGGATCTGTGGTGACCTACCGCTGCAATCTTGGAAGCGGAAGGAAAAAGCTGTTTGAGCTCGTGGGTGAGCCCTCCATATATTGCACCAGCAAAGATGGCCAAGTGGGCATCTGGAGCGGCCCGGCCCCTCAGTGCATTATACCTAACAAATGTACGCCTCCAAATGTGGAAAATGGAATATTGGTATCTGTCAACAGAAGCTTATTTTCCTTAAATGAAGTTGTGGAGTTTAGGTGTCAGCCTGGCTTTGTCATGAAAGGACCCCGCCGTGTGCAATGCCAGGCCCTGAACAAATGGGAGCCAGAGTTACCAAGCTGCTCCAGGGGTGAGTCTGACTGAGGCCTAGAAGGTCCCTGCAAATGACATGCATTGCTGTTGGATCAGGAGATCAGTATTTGTTCAGGGGGAGGGATGTGTGGTGAGGAGGGTGGGAAAGTAAGTTTTGGGGGAAGAAGCATGAAATTAAGAATCGGGGGTGTGCATGCACCCATGCATATGTGTCTTCATTTTGAAAAGCAAGACCTTAATTAGCCAAGAAAAAAGCTATTTTGGACTGACTTATTAATCAATTCTCAGGGCAAAGTAACAGCTGCAATCTCTCTCAATTATATTGAAAAATTATATGGACTTTATGGTCAACTGTGCACTAAGCACTTTATATGCATTTTCTCATTCATTGTTTACAACAACAGTTTGAAATTGTGCTGTTGTATTATCCATTTAATAGTGACATCAGCTTGGTCTTTCAGAAGTTAAATAAATTAGCCAAGTCACATGTTCTAAGTGAGACACCCAAGATTTTAAAAGGCAGGTGTGTTAGACCCCAGAGTCTGAATGTTTTGTCTCTTGCCATACTTCTATCAGCATCCATTGGTGAAAGAAAGAGACTGGCTTACAAAGACAGAAATCATAGCCTCATAATAGAGACAAAGACCTTAGAGTTTTTCTACAATGGTCTGCCTCCTACATTTTATTTTTTATTTTATTTTATTTAAAAACTATTTATTAGAGTTGAGGTCCCACTCTGTTGCCTAGGCTGAAGTACAGTGATACAATCATGGCTCACTGCAGCCTCAAACTCCTAGGCTCAAGCCATCCACATCCTACATTTTATCCCTAGGAGTCTAAGTCAAGAGTGAAAGTAACTTGTTCAAAGCCAGTTAAATATTTCTAAATTCATCTTTAATGAAGTATAGATTAGGTTGATGTTAAAATGGGTTCTGATGCCCTAAGCATGAATGAACATGACTATAAATAAAGGCAGATGTTGAGTCAAATACTCTCCAAATAATATGCTCTCTGGTGACAAAGGACTGGTTTATTTAAGGGCTTATGTTTTTGATGGCTCATCTTGTCTACTGATGCCACAATAGCTGGCTTAGCAGCTGAGTGGGAGGTGTTATGGCTGATACGTAGGGACAGAGAAAGAGCTTACAATTCTTCTACCAACCCATGTTAGCCTTGTGCAACCACTGAGCTGGGAAGACGAACAGATAAAGGGATATAAAGACGGATGTGTTGAGGCAGGAGATGGGCAGGGCTTGTGTTCTGGTCACAATCCTGTTGACCAAAACAGGCTCTGGCCCAGACAGGATGAAGTGAAAAAACAGCAGGAACCAGCAGATGGCGATGAAAGCAATTGCTAGCTGCCCTCATAGTCCCATCAGCACCATGACAGTTTACAAATGCCATGGCAACGACCTAGAAGTTACCACCCTTTTCCTGGAAAGTTCTAAATAACTCGCCCCTCAATCTGCATTGATCCATTCCTTAATTTACATGTAACTGAAACAGGTTTACAGGAGTATAAATACAGTTGGCTGCCAGCAGCCCTTATGTTGCTGACTCTGAGTGCACTGTCTGTGAGTTAGCCCTGCTCTGCAAGTGGCAGCGCCCTTCACTAAAAGATTGTTGTGTGGCACCACTGGCTCATCCCTGAATTCTTTCCTGGGTGAGGCAAGAACCCTTCCAGAGTAAGCCCCGATTTGGGGGCTTGCCTGTCCAGAAACAGTATGACTGTACTTTAGTCATTGGTGTGCAATCAGAGAAATTGGGGGAAATCTGTAGAACAGACTTGGTCTCAGGTGACAGTCTCATTACTTGACTAACAATGGTACAAATCGGGATTACCTTCCTAGGAAATATGTAGATGGAGAATCCACCAATACTAATAACTCCACATTGGATAGCCAGAGCTAGGAGAAAATACCTCATGCCCTGTAGATTTACAAGTGAATTTGGGGCCTTGTGCTAGGGAGAATTGGGTTCTATTTCTCTATGTCTGACTAGCTATGAGGCCTTCAGGAAGCATAGGAAATTCCCCCGTAAGTAACAAGTGCTCTGGAACTGTCCTTTCCACAGTGTGTCAGCCACCTCCAGAAATCCTGCATGGTGAGCATACCCCAAGTCATCAGGACAAATTTTCACCTGGGCAGGAAGTGTTCTACAGCTGTGAGCCCGGCTATGACCTCAGAGGGGCTGCGTCTCTGCACTGCACGCCCCAGGGAGACTGGAGCCCTGAAGCCCCCAGATGTGCAGGTGCCTCAACTCTCTAGCTTCCAGATTGCTCTCTTTACCCCGCACATGGAGGTCTTACTCCTATTTTCTCTTTTTTTCTTCTTCTAGTGAAATCCTGTGATGACTTCTTGGGTCAACTCCATCATGGCCGTGTGCTAGTTCCATTTAATCTCCAGCTTGGGGCAAAGGTGTCCTTTGTCTGTGATGAAGGGTGAGTGTGACCCAGAATTAAGATCAAGGACTTAGCACTGGAGAGTGACTCTTGAGCTCAAGGATCAATCCAAAAAGAGGGCTGACCTAGGAAAAGAAGAACCCAGGGAGATTAACTTCTGGAAGTGTAGTTTTAAAATAAGGGTAGGGACTAAGTGACACTACTATCAAGAGATAAAGAGATGAAGAAAAAATGGCACATATAACTCAGTGTCAAGTATAAACAGAAATACAATCACCAGTCCACAAAAGGGGACTGGCCTAGTGGAAAAGAAGTACTAGAGGAGACTAATATCTGAAACAATGATTGGAAAGTATGGTATGAACCAGCTGGATCCATGAACAGAAGTTTAAAAAGCAAAAAGCTCAACTCATTTGATTTCTCACTTATAGAGGCTCAGAAGTAAAATCATTTTGGAAAATGTGCAGCTTCCAGTAAGGGACAAAGAAAAAACAATGGGAAGAATACAACAGATCTTGAAAAAAAAAGTATATATATACAAATACGGAACATTAGATATATGAATAAATAATAATTTGCAGACATGAAGAGATAAATAACTATTCTAGGGGGTTGTTAAGAAAAGTTTGATATATAAGAGAAAGTTGTGTATAAGATAAAATAGCATGCAAAGTGTATTTCAAAAAACTTTTAAACAAATAAATAGTGGAATTTGGAATAGGAATGAAAGAGTAAGTAGAAATATTCTAAAATCCAATTATGTATGATTGACAACTTCACCAGCTGTTATTGCTTTGTCCTCACTGAAAGCTACACTTTTTCCAAAAAGATTTTGCTTCTGAGCCCCTGTCAATGAGAAACTAAGTGAGTTGAGCATTTTCACCTGTGCTTTAGCTTGAGCAGTAAAATGTTAATTAACTTAGGAATTCTCAGGGAGGAGGTTGAGATCTGTCAATGAAGGGAAGAGAGAAATGGTGCATTCACCCAGCCACTACTGCTTTGTTCTTTAGGTTTCGCTTAAAGGGCAGCTCCGTTAGTCATTGTGTCTTGGTTGGAATGAGAAGCCTTTGGAATAACAGTGTTCCTGTGTGTGAACGTGAGTAGATGGAATACTTGTTCAGTCTGGATCTTTCTCTTTGTTTTTTTTCTTAATGTGGTTTGCCCCATGGGATTATCTACTGTTGGTCCCGCTGTTTATGCCTACTTTTGATAGAAATAGTTCTTTGTTGGAATAGATACAAGCAACGTTTTGGGGAAAAATAAACCTGAGAATCATGTGTTTTGGGTACCCTCCTATAAATATTTATGAGGAGAGTCTGTGCTATAAATAGAGAGAAATGCTTCATAGAAATAAATGTATGGTAAGATGCTGGGCTAAATTTTTCTCTTCTTTCCTGTCAAAAGTAATAGTCATACTTCAACTTTTCAGTTCTTCCCTCAATCATCCATTTAGTCACATACTCATTCTTTCAACAGAAAATTATTTGATTACCTACTATGTGCCAAGCAATCTTCTGGGAACTGGGAATATGCCTATAAATAAGACAGATAAGTCCATGTTTAGATTTTTGTGCAAGGATAAAGATAAAAATCAAAGACATGAATAGAAATGTTCAAATGATACTAAGTGTTATTAAGAAAATGCTCTTAATTGAGTCAGTGCTCTCAATTGAGAAAGTAGCTGAGGGCCCAAAAGGCAATTGTAGTCAAGCAAACCTCTGGGTGTACCTGAGGGTTCACGCTGGGAGGCTGTTGCAGCAATCTCATCAGAGATGTTGGCCCAGGATAGCAATTGGGAAAGATGATGATGAGAAGTGATCAAATTCTGGATATATTTTGAAGGTGCAGATGACGGAATTTGGTGATGGTGCTTAGATAGAGGGTGTGAAAGAAAGAGAAGAATCATAAACAGTTTCTAGATTTTTGGCCAGAGCAACCGCCAGGGTAGAATTTGCCTTAGCTGAAATGCAGGGGACTGTGTGAAGTTTGGGAAGGGGGAAATCAAAAGTTACTCTTGGGACATAATTTTATTGTTCCTCTTAGATATCCAGATGGATATGTTAGAGAGTCCCAGGCTGCCCATAGATATGTAGAAGCCCTCATTGTATCTGCTATGCTTGAAATCAGGACTGAAAGAGATCTTCACCTAGGGAGTGAGTGCTGCTAGAGAACAGATGCATGGACTGAGCCTGCATGTCCAGGATTAAGAGTTGAAAAGGTGAGAAGGAATCAGCAAAGGGGATTATAATGAAGCAGCCACTGCAATAAGAGAAAACACAGGAGGGTGAGGTGCCCTGGAAGCCAAGGGTGTAAATTCCTTTAAAGGACTAGATTAATCAACTGTGTCAAATTCCATAGAGAGGTCAAATTAGGTGAGAACAGAAAATTGATCTTTGGGTTTAGCAACTTGGAGGTAACAAGTGGCAGTTTCAGTGGAGTACTGGCAAACACTGATTGGAATGAATTCTAGGGAGAATAAACAGAGGAACTGTAACAGATCATAAACAGTATTTTAGAGGAGTTTTCATGTAAAGAGAGTAGAAATAGGACTATAGCTGGAGAGGGAAATGGCAGCAAGGGGGTTGCTTTTGATTTTTAAGAGGGCAGAAAATAGTGCGTTAAAACCAGAAACACTACTATGTCCAATCTATCCATTTACTTCTTCACTAAATTAATCAGGATATTGGTTCCCCTTCTGATCATAGCTATTAAAAATACAAGTTTACAATAGAATTTCGCTCAAATGAATACTTTGCCTTAAATTATTTCAATGTCTTGTACTGATTTATACGATGAAACTTGATAATTTCATCTTACATTGTTGGAAGTCAGCTATTTGACAATCTTAACTTCCCTGGAATAGTTAAGAAGTATGAAAGAAAAGAAAGAGAAAATACCCTAATGAACCCAACATATATCTGAAATTGCTTACTAGAGTGTAAACATTGGTTAAGCTATTTTAACCTTTGATTAGTTTATCTATAATTCTTTTAAACTGTAATATCCTCTTTCCAAATTCAAAGCAAATTAGAAAGGGGAAGGATGTCCCCAAATAGAGGCATTCCAAGGAATAAATGTGTTTGTTTAGTGGGGAAAAAAGAAAAACCTTTAAAAACCAATGAGTATCTCAAAAAACCATAACATTCTTGAGCTTTTTGAAACATATATAGGAGTACACAGTATATTTTATTTCATTTGACAGCATTACTGTAATCTTTCATCTTTATTTTGAAAATCATAATCTGGCATCATCAAGAAAAATTAAATCACTGATATACAAATAATAAATGCATAATATATTTTAGAAAGATGTCTCTAGGATGAAGATTCTTGATGTCAAAGATCATATTTATCTTGTGCTTAAAACAGTACTTGACATACAGCAGATATTCAAAAAATGCTTGTTGAATTAATGGATGATTCCCCTTTAATGTGACTATGAAGATTTTTATTTACTTTAAAGGAATATACCCTTTATTATTCAGAAATATTAACTATCTGAAAAATTCAGGATGCTTAATTTGGCAATGGCTTTTGTAATAAACATTGATTTAGTCGTCATTTCATTTAGCTCCATCTTAGCAGAGGTCTAATACATTTATTTTGCAGTTTCTACTTTCCTTAAGAAAAAAAGTATGCTTAATTGGCAACACAGTCACAGTATGACAACTGTAGAATCACCTTGGATAATAATTTAAAATTTTTTATGGAATTGAGAGCTCTTGTTTTCTTTCTAGATATCTTTTGTCCAAATCCTCCAGCTATCCTTAATGGGAGACACACAGGAGCTCTCCTTGGAGATATTCCCTATGGAAAAGAAATATCTTACACATGTGACCCCCACCCAGACAGAGGGATGACCTTCAACCTCATTGGGGAGAGCACCATCCGCTGCACAAGTGACCCTCAAGGGAATGGGGTTTGGAGCAGCCCCGCCCCTCGCTGTGAACTTTCTGTTCGTGCTGGTCAGTATCTGTTTCCACATATCCTAAATGGGTTCAGAATATCTGGACCCATCCCTCATGTTTCTGTAATAAGACTATGGTATGTTTTTGTGAGCTTAACTTTGTCATAAGTGGACATGACAAAATTACATACCATAGCTAAAACAGATGGGTTTCAGCAGTGCCAAGGTATGTGTAAATCTATAAGATGAGAACTCTTCTTGCTGGTGGAGTGGAAGAGGGTGGGGTAATGGGACTGAGGGGAGGGGTGGAGGGAAGGTAGTAGGGTGCAGTGATGTAATTCAGGAGGAAAAATGTATTCACTGGAGAGGACATGAAAACAACTGCCTATGAACACTAACCAGTATCTGTATAATTGACAGACACTCTCCATAAGTTCATGAGGGGTACATGGGCATGCAAAGTTCAAAATTGAAAATGTGGATATTATTTAGCTAAGGTTTTAAACTAGTGTTCTGCTGCATGGGCTAAGTAACCAAAAAGACTCTCTTCGTCTTGACTTAACGTTTGTCCACTTGTCAGCTTGCCTCCAGGTCGTCTCAATCTTTGTACTTGAACTGTTCCACTCAGGGTAAGAAGCAAGGAAACAGTAGCCCAAAGAAAAGAGTAGGAAAAGGAAGAGTCTGTTTCTTCCTAAGGAGGGGGAGAAGTCGCCTAGTCCTTTAGGGCAAATATTAGGTCTTTTCCAGAACAGAAGCTGTAGGAGATTAGGGATGTGGCACCAGCCTTGGAATATTCCATTATCCACAGGGAAGCCCTGAGAGAGAAGAACAAGCCAAGGTGAAAAGGCTAACCCTGATGACAGGCATTTAACCTGTCTGTTACCTTTACCCTCCAACTGAGTGCTACTCATCAGAATCCAGTAAATTTTTTTAATGCAAATGCCTAGACCCCAGTGAAGTCTTAATGAATGAACAGATGGAGGAAGTCTTCTCCAAAAGGAAGGGAGTGGAGTTCAGACTGTATTTGAAAATATGCAGCACATGGCTGGGCACAGTAGCTCACACCTATAATCCCAGCGCTTTTGGAGGCCGAGGTGAGAGGATTGTTTGAGGCCAGGAGTTCAAGACCAACCTGGCCAACACAGCAAGATCCTATCTCTATAAAAAATAAAATTAAAAAATTGTAAAACAAAAAAGTAAAAATACACAGCACACAATATACTCTCTCAAAAAGAAGACATAGCTTCTTACAGGAGGCTGATGGCTTAGTCTGTTTTGTTCTGGTTCTTTTTTTGTTTTGTTTTGTTTTTGTGTGTGTATGTACTTTTTTTTTTTTTTGAGAGAGGGTCTTGCTCTTTTGCCCAGGCTAGAGTAGAGTGGTGCAATTATAGTTTACTGCAGCCTCAACCTCCCTGGCTCAAGCAAGCCTCCCATCTCAGCCTCCCAAATAGCTGGGACCACAGGTGCATGCCACCTCGCCCAGCTAATTCTTGTATTTTATGTAGACCGGTTTTCGTCATGTTGCCCAGGCTGGTCTTGAACTCCTGGGCTAAAGCAATCCACCTGCCTTGGCCTCCCAAAGTGGTGGGACTACAAGGCGTGAGCCACCATGCCCAGCCTATTTTGTTTTATCTTTAAATGAGTGGTTTAGCATCAGAAGAACAACACTGTATTAGTTTCCTAGGGCTGCTGTAACAAATTACCACAAACTAGGTGGCTTAAAACAGAAGAAACTTACTATTTCACAGTTTTGTAGGCTAGAAGTCTGAAATTGAGATGTTGGCAGGGGTATTTTCCCATCTTCTAAGGCTCTAGAAAATAACCAATTCCTTACTTCTTCCAGCTCCTGCTGGTTCCTGGAATTCCTTGGTATTCCTTGGTTTGTGGATGCATCATTCCAATCCCTGCCTCCATCATAGCCTTTTCCCCTGTGTCTCTATATTTCAAATCCCTCCACTTTTTCCCTGATAGGGACACCAGTCATTGGATTTAGGGCCCACTCTAAGTAAAAGATGATCTAATCTCAAGATGCTAACCTTAATTCTATCTGAAAAACCATTATTACAAATAAGTTTCTATTCCGAGGTTTTAGGTAGAGATATCTTTTGGGAGAACATAATTCAACTCACTACAACGGGTATCTGCTATGAAAGGCCAGAGAGGCAGTTTATGCTGGGCACCCTGAGAATGGAGTAGATGGAGAGAGATAATAAAATATGTCTTGCTACTCATGAGTGAATTAGCACAAATACATGAGCATTTGAGCGGTTAACTGAGGATATAGGCACTCCGACAGGAGGTCTGACATATGAAACTACAAGCTGGAGTTCTTGTTTTGGTGAAATAAGGGAAGAAAGATCAGAAAGCTGAGTGATCTTCCAAATAGTAAAAAAAAAAAAAAAAAAAAAAAAAAAAAAAAAAAAAAAAAAAAAAAAAAAATTCCACTGAGTAGATGCCGTTGAAAAGTTTATGCCAAGGTAATATCAAAGAGAAGAAAATCTTTTGCTATTTTTGTAAGTCTGTTTCTGTGATCCACCTATCAGCTTAATTAGAGAGAAACAGGAGGTAGGGTGGAAGTCTCTCTGCTAACTTTGATATTCCTGTGGTTTTGTTCTCCAGGTCACTGTAAAACCCCAGAGCAGTTTCCATTTGCCAGTCCTACAATCCCAATTAATGACTTTGAGTTTCCAGTCGGGACATCTTTGAATTATGAATGCCATCCTGGGTATTTTGGGAGAATGTTCTCTATCTCCTGCCTAGAAAACTTGGTCTGGTCAAGTGTTGAAGACAACTGTAGACGTAAGTAACCCCTCCCTGGGAACTACTTCATGTCTCTTAAGGCATAGATGGGACCAGGCTTGGTGGCTCATGCCTGTAATCCCAGCACTTTGGGAGGCCAAAGCTGGCAGACAGCTTGAGCTCAGGAGCTTGCAACCAGCCTGGGGTTGCCCAAACCCCATCTCTACAAACAACAACAGTAAAAACAGTGTGGGATTTGATTCAATTTGCTCAAATTTTGGAGGCAAGATGTCTATATTTGCCCAAAGTATTTTGATAAAGGGTGGTCTTGTGCATCACCCCTTTTTATTGCTCAGAGTTCCTGAACCTTGACTAGATGCTCATTTCATGAGAATGGCTCTCACAAAAGAATTAGAGAGAAAATTTATATTCACTGTAGATCATCCTTGATGGCTGAAACCATGAAATGAATGAAACAGGGATACAAAAGAAATTTATGTGGGTTACAGTGAACTGTGCTTGGCTAACTAAAAATAGGGGAGACATCTCAAATTTTGAGGCCTTTGATTTTGGCTGGTGGAATGACAGTACAACACTTTAGCCATAAATGATTTGTTTTGTTTTGTTTTTTGTTTTGTTTCTGTTGTTGTGTTTTTTGTTGTTGTTGTTGTTTGTTTGTTTTTTCTGAGATGGAGCCTCACTCTGTCACCCAGGCCGGAGTGTGGTGCGATCTTGGCTCACTGCAACCTCCTGGGTTCGAGCAAGTCTCCCTGCCTCAGTCTCCTGAGTAGCTGGGATTACAGGCACCCATCCCCACGCCCAGCTAATTTTTGTATTTTTTAGTAGAGATGGAGTTTTGCCATGTTGGCCAGACTTGTCTTGAACTCCTGACCTCAGGAGATCTGCCTGCCTTGGCCCCCCAAAGTGCTAGGATTACAAGCGTGAGCCCATACATAACTTTTATTGGGAGATGTAAGGTAGTCTTTTTGAAAGTGGTGTTCTGTAGCTGCATGGTTCTGAAGTTGTCTGCCAAGTTTCTTCAAAGCAGTCAATTCCATTAAACAATTGGAACTGTATATGCTGTTTAGTATGCCACACTCCAGTTTGAACCTTACAAACAAAGGTAAGTTGAACTCTACACTTAATCCCAAATTCTGCTTCTTCCCCCTAGGAAAATCATGTGGAACTCCTCCAGAACCCTTCAATGGAATGGTGCATATAAACACAGATACCCAGTTTGGATCAACAGTTAATTATTCTTGTAATGAAGGGTGAGTTGAGAATACCATCTCTTGAATATGAGTTCCAGAACAGCAGAGTCAACTGTGGATCTAGTCTCAGATAGACAAACTAAACTATTGCTACCTTTACTTTAAAAGCAAGCAATAGGACTTCTAGATGGAGATGATACCTTGGACATAGCATATTATCAAAGGAATACAAAAAAGAAGGAACAATATGTATTGTATTGTAAACCAGGTGAGGGCACCATGTTCCTGTCAAAGACGGTACATGTGAAACCTGGTCAGGCATTCATTGGATGAAAAGGAGCAGCTTACAAATAAGTGAAAGGAAAAAAGGTAGTTGAACCATGTGAACCTCCTTAACTGAGATCGGTAGGTACTACCGTTGAGTTGGAGGACTCTGAAGCAGGGTTTGGGAGGGTAAATCTTAATTGTAACAGAAGCTCTGGAAGATAATGCATCAAAGTGCACACAAAGAGGAGAACACTATGGGGTTCTTGTTCTTGACTTCTCCTTGGGACAAGTAGCCACACCAGAAGCCATTGCCTCAACTGAGAAGGGGCTTTTAAAGACCCTGGAGTGGACCTCCAGCAAACTCCAGTAGACCTGCAGCAGAGGGGCCTGACTGTTAGAAGAAAAGCTAAGAAACATAAAGGAAGAGCATTAACATCAACAAAAAGGACGTCCACATGAAAACCCCATACAAAGGTCACCAACATCTAAGACTAAAGATAGATTAATCCACGAAGATGAGGAAAAACCAGCACAAAAAGGCTGAAAATTCCCAAAACCAGAATGCCTCTTCTCCTCCAAAGGATCCCAACTCCTTGCTAGCAAGGGAACAAAACTGGATGGAGAATGAGTTTGACAAATTGACAGAAGTAGGCTTCAGAAGGTGGGTAATCACAAACTCCTTCAAGCAAAAGGAGCATGTTCTAACCCAATGCAAGGAAGCAAGAGCCTTGAAAAACAGGTTAGAGGAATTTCTAACTAGAATAACCAGTTTAGAGAAGAACATAAATGACCTGATTGAGCTAAAAACACAACACAAGAACTTTATGAAGCATACACAAGTATCAATAGCCAAATTGATCAAGTGAAACAAAGGATATCAGAGATTGAAGATCAACTTGATGAAATAAAGCATGAAGACCAAAAAGAATGAAAAGGAATGAACAAAGCCTCCAAGAAATATGGGACTATGTGAAAAGACCAAATCTACGTTTGATTGGTGTACCTGAAAGTGCTGGAGAGAATGGAACCAAGTGGGAAAACACTCTTCAAGATATTATCCAGGAGAACTTCCCCAACCTAGCAAGACAGGCCAGCATTCAAATTCAGGAAATACAGAGAACACCACAAAGATACTCCTTGAGAAGAGCAACCCCAAGACACATAACCGTCAGATTCACCAAGGTTGAAATGAAGGAAAAAATGTTAAAGGCAGCCAGAGAGGAAGGTCAGGTAACCCACAAAGGGAAGCCCATCAGACTAACAGTGAATCTCTCTGCAGAAACCCTATAAGCCAGAAGAGAGTGGCGGCTAATACTTAACATTCTTAAAGAAAAGAATTTTCAACCCAGAATTTCATATCCAGCCAAACTAAGCTTCATAAGTGAAGGAGAAATAAAATCCTTTACAGACAAGCAAATGCTGAGGGATTTTGTCACCACCAGACCTGCCTTACAAGAGCTCCTGAAGGGAACACTAAACATGGAAAGGAATAACTGGTACCAGCCACTGTGAAAACATACCAAATTGTAAAGACCATCAACAATATGAAGAAACCACATCAACTAACGGGAAAAATAACAAGTTAGCATCATAATGACAGAATCAAATTTACACATAGCAATGCTAACATTAAATGTAAATTGGCTAAATGCCCCCAATTAAAAGACACTGACTGGCAAATTGGATAAAGAGTCAAGACCCATTGGTGTGCTGTATTCAGGAGACCCATCTCATGTGCAAAGACACACACAGGCGCAAAGTAAAGGGATGGAGGAAGATTTACCAGGCAAATGGAAAGCAAATAAAAGCAGGGGTTACAATCCTAGACTCTGATAAAACATACTTTACACCAACAAAGATCAAAAGAGACAAGGGCATTACATAATGGTAAAGGGATCAATGCAACAAGAAGAGCTAACTATCCTACATATATATGCACCCAATACAGGAGCACCCAGATGCATAAAGCAAGTTCTTAAAGACGTACAAAGAGACTTAGATTCCCACACAATAATAGTGGGAGACTTTAACACCCCACTGTCAATATTAGAGAGATCAACAAGACAGAAGATTAACAAGGATATTCAGGACTTGAATCACCTCTGGACCAAGCAGACCTAATAGACATCTATAGAACTCTCCACCCAAATCAGCAGAATATACATTCTTCTCAGCACTACATAGCACTTATTCTAAAATCGACCACATAATTGGAAGTAAAGCACCCTCAAAATGCAAAAGAATGGAAATCATAACAAACAGTCTTTCAGACCACGGTGCAATCAAATTAGAACTCAGCATTAAGAAACTCACTCAAAACCACACAACTACATGGAAACTGAACAACTTCTCTGAATGACTACTGGCTAAATAATGAAATTAAGGCAGAAATAAGTAAGTTGTTTGAAACTGATGAGAACAAAGACACACTACACCAGAATCCCTGGGACACAGCTAAAGCAGTGTGTACAGGGAAATTTATAGCACTAAATGGCCACAGGAGAAAGCAGAAAAGATCTAAAATCGACACCCTAACATCACAATTAAAGAACTAGAGAAGCAAAAGCAAACAAATTCAAAAGCTAGCAAAAGACAAGAAATAACTAAGATGAGAGCAGAACTGAGGAAGATAGAGACACGAAAAAAACTTCAAAAAATCAATGAATCCAGGAGCTGGTTTTTTGAAAAGATTAACAAAATAGACCACTAGCCAGACTAATAAAGAAGAAAAGAGAGAAGAATCAAATAGACACAATAAAAGATGATAAAGGGGATATCACCACTGATCTTACAGAAATACAAACTACCATCAGAGGATACTATAAACACCTCTGTGCAAATAAACTAGAAAATCTAGAAGAAATGGATAAATTCCTGGACACATACACCCTCCCAAAACTAAAACAGGAAGAAGTCGAATCCCTGAATAGGCCAAAAACAAGTTCTGAAATTGAGGCAGTAATTAATAGCCTACCAACCAAAAAAAGCCCTGGAACAGATGGATTCACAGTCAAATTCTACCAGAGGTACAAAGAGGAGCTGGTACCTTCCTTCTAAACTATTCCAAACAATAGAAAAAGAGGGACTCCTCCCTAACTCATTTTATGAGGCCAGCATCATCCTGATACCAAAACATGGCAGAGACACAACAAAAAAGGAAAATTTCTGGCCAATATCCCTGATGAACATTGATGCAAAAAAATCCTCAATAAAATACTGGCAAACTGAATCCAGCAGCACATCAAAAAGCTTATCCACCATGATCAAGTTGGCTTCATCCCTGCGATGCAAGGCTGGTTCAACATATGCAAATCAATAAATGTAATCCAGCACATAAACAGAACCAATGATAAAAACCACATGATCATCTCAATAGATGCAGAGAAGGGCTTCAATAAAATTCAACAGCCCTTCATGTTAAAAACTCTCAATAAACTAGGCGTTGATGGAATGTATCTCAGAATAATAAGAGCTATTTATAACAAACCCACACCAATATCATACTGAATGGGCAAAAGCTGGAAGCATGCCCTTTGAAAACCGGCACAAGACAAGGATGCCCTCTCACACCACTCCTATTCAACATAGTATTGGAAGTTCTGGCCAGGGCAATCAGGCGAGAGAAAGAAATAAAGGGTATTCAAATAGGAAGAGAGGAAGTCAAATTGTCTCTGTTTGTATATGACATGATTATATATTTAGAAAACCCCATTGTCTCAGCCTAAAATCTCCTTAATCTCATAGCAACCTCAGTAGTCTCAGGATACAAAATCAATGCAAAAATCACAAGCATTCCTATACACCAATAATAGACAAACAGAGAGCCAAATCATGAGTGAACTCCCACTCGCAATTCCTGCAAAGAGAATAAAATACCTTGGAATACAACTTACAAGGGATATGAAGGACGTCTTCAAGTAGAGCTACAAACCACTGCTCAAGGAAGTAAGAGAGGACACAAACAAATGGAAAACATTTCATGAACATGGATAGAAATAATCAATATCGTGAAAATGGCCATACTGCCCAAGGTAATTTATAAATTCAATGCTACCCCCGTCAAACTACCAATGGCTTTCTTCACAGAATTAGAAAAACAAACAAACAAACAAACAAAACGACTTTAAAGTTCATATGGAACCAAGAAAGAGCCCGCATAGCCAAGACAATCCTAAGCAAAAAGAGCAAAGTTGGAGGCATCATGCTACCTGACTTCAAACTATACTACAAGACTACAGTAACCAAAACAGCATCGTACTGGTACCAATACAGATAATATAGACTAGTGGAACAGAACAGAGGCCTCAGAAATAACATCTACAATACAACCACACATCTACAATCATCTAGTCTTTGACAAACCTGACAAAAACAAGCAATGGGGAAAGGATTCCCTATTTAATAAATGGTATTGGGAAAACTGGCTAGCCATATGCAGAAAACTGAAGTTGGACCCCTTCCTTTACACCTTATACAAAAATTAACTCAAGATGGATTAAAGACTTAAATGTTAGATCTAAAACCATACAAACCCTAGAAGAAAACCTAGGCAATACCATTCAGGACATAGGCATGGGCAAAGTCTTCATGACTAAAACACCAAAAGCAATGGCAACAAAAGCCAAAATTGACAAATGGGATCTAATTAAACTAAAGAGCTTCTGCACAGCAAAAGGAACTATCATCAGAGTGAACAGGCAACCTACAAGATGGGAGAAAATTTTTGCAATCCATCCATCTGACAAAGGACTAATATTCAGAATCTACAAAGAACTTAAACAAATTTACAAGAA